TTGGAGACCTTTCTGTATGCTTCAATTGATGTCCATATTCTGGAAGTTGCTTGCCAGATTCACTCATGATGAGGCAGATTCCAAACCCTGGGTGAAGGGATCTAGGGATGATCAAAAGACACGTGTACGGCCTCTTTGTCTGAATCAAAAGCTAAGAAGAGATTATCGCCCTTGTTTCTTGCTCGGTTCTTTGCCGGCGAGAGAACAAACATGAACAACGTGGACAGTTCCGACCTGTTGCCAGCTCAGCTCGGAACATCTGGGTGGTTGTTCCTGACAAACTTCTTGAACCTCGATCAGTCGGATTTCGAAGGTCGCGAGAGCTTGAGGTTCCACTTTTTTCCGAGAAACTGAAAGTATAGGTGAACTACACCCGGAAGGGCAGGGCCCATGCCCCGAAAAGAAACAAAAACACACATCGACACCTCTTCCCTCCTGGTACTCGTGATCTTTCCTTAGCAGACCTGGTCACAAAGCTAGAGAGTGGATCCGAAATCGCTGACCAGTGAAGAAAGCCACCATAGCCCCTATATTGCTTACCAGTGAATGTCAATCACACCAAAAGCATCAAAACAAAAAAAAAGGAAGCAGTCCAGCACCCCCACCAGTCCTTGCATAGACCATGGACCATGCGCGTTGCAGTGTCACAGAACCCTCAAAACTACAGTGAATCCGTTGCACCCTTGTCGCAAACTCTCGATTTGGGGATAATTCAGGATTCGGTAAGTTAGTTTTAATTGGCTGTTGAGCTTGGAGAGGAAAACCAAAACACCCAAACCCAGCATTTCCTGTGGGTTTTCACACCTCACCTATCTCTGCCTGTCCCTGTCTCACTGATCCGACTCACCCAGACTCCGGCCAACACGCTCGTCTCGCTGAAAACGCCGCGCCCACCCGGCGGTGCGCGCGCGGGACCGGACCCGGGACCGGCGCGCGGCCCGGTTCGCCGAGACGCTTTTGCTTGATCTCCGCCTTCGTGGCCGTGCCCTTTAAGCCCAGCAAGGACCAAATCCTCGGTGCCGCGAAGGTCGACCGGGAAGGGGTGTTTTGGTTGGTGGAAGGACGGGATCTCAAGGCTTACACATGGAGAGAACTCAGCTTCTGTTGGAAAGGGCCACCTCCCTCGGGCCACCAGCACCTGTGGCCTAGGTGGTGCTACTGGCCAGCAACGACCTCGCGCCAAGATTTGACCAAAACGAATGCAGAAAAAGACTTGGCCCATCACAACCTGCAGAAGCGCAGGCCCCCTCCGTCGCCCCCTGACTGTGTCGTGCTGCTCATCGCCCCAAGCGTCTCAGTGCCAGCGACCGTGGGGGACGACGTCGCACGAAGACGGTGTCGTTGTCGATGTGCCCGGGCCTCGCGATCGCGCGATCAGACGGTGTCGTGGTCGGTGCAACGCCTCAGGTTTGGATATAGTAGAAACATATCGAAACATATGGAAACATGGAAACCATGGAAGTGCAAGCTGGTCCGATTGTTATGCGTCTTGTTTTGCTTTGCTCCTGCTATCTCGTTCCATGAAAGTCACAGTGACCGTGTAAGTTACGATGGATCTATAACATATATACCATGTTAATCCATTTTATCCATACAGAGCATCAGTACAATAGGCTACCCACACTCCCATACCTTTGCAGCTTGTACTCCCCCCGGCGCCGTTTTCACCGCCCCGAACTGATGTCCCGCTCAGTCGAACCAGCATAAAGCCCCAGGCGGGAAGAGGTTATACAAGCTAGAGCTAGACAATCCAAATGGAATCTAGCTAGAGCAGCTAGAGCTAGAGCTCGAGCTCGGGCTAGGTCGTTTATCAAGAGATCGTTCAGTCTGTCTTCGCAAGTCAAGAGTCGACGCAAAGATGCGCGCATCTGATGCGAGCACTTCGCTCGATTCAAAAGCCGCCACCCAGGGCTTTTCTGGAAGGGATCCAAACATGAAAGCACAACTTGGACTTGGATGGCTGTCCGCAAGCTGCCGTGAAACGAACAGAATCGTTCTCACCATGTACAAAACCTTGGTGTGGCTTGTTTTGTACAGCATCATCCGTTGGATCAAACAATTTGGTAAGGAGGCCTCCCTTAAGTGTAGCAACATGTAGCAACCAAATGTATACATTCAAATTTCAAAGGGAGTGTTCGGAGACACGGAATTGGCGCATAATTTATGCATGTACTTTGTGCATCTTTTCTCCGAAGTGTTGGGATTGTCTCAAATCATCTACCTCCGAACCCCATCATCTCACTAAAGGTCATTTACTTTCCCTCTGAAGGTGTCCAAGCAAATGCAACGTGCTTGACCCGTTTTCACCCAGGAGAATCCAGTTAGAAGGCCGGCAGATGGAGCCATTCCCAGCTCTGCAAACGTCGCGTCCCCCCGTTTCCAAAGCTAGGTCTGAAACGTCGATCACCCTTGGCAAGAGAGAAAACGAAAAGTTAAAACATTCAACACTAATGACGAGAGAAATCAGAACATTCCAAATCTCTTCGAAATAAAACGTGAAGACGCGAAGACGCTTCCGTCAAGATCCGCCTTCGCTGCCAAGGGGACTAGCACAGCAACAAGCAAGGCTGGTCCAGAAGGCACCTCAAAGGTACCATCGAAACAACGCCGCGGAACACGGGGGAGGTGAGCGGCAAAACACCCCCAGTTTGGTCGCCTTCGACCATCATGTCAGACCATCTTTCAGAGCTAGCCTTCTTTAGATCTCCTCAGACCATCCTTCGATCAAAGCGTCTTCTTTAGATTTGGATCTTCTCTTTTCCGCGTGGAGTCCGCGTCTTCGACGCCGGCCCTTCCTGGCGTCTTCAGCCGCCAACTGGCGCCAACTGGCGCCTTCAGTCTGTCTGGGACACCCCAGCGTGGAAGGGGTGGCGTGTCGGTCTGCCTGGGCGATCGATCGAAGAAAGGTTGAGAGACCATATAAGACCCTGGTCTGTGGTACATATGGAATGGGCTATAGGGCTGTTCAACCCCTCTTGGATTTTATCCTAGAACTTCCGTTTTGACTCAGTTTTGACTCATGAACTACTCCACCTGGTAGTCAATCGATCGACCACTACCAGGCCGGGGAAAAATGGGTCATGACTGGACTCACGCCTGGGGAGGTCTCCGTATGTATACGTAAATGTATACATACAGGTCTCCAAATGGAGGCTTAGCATCTCAGAGCTCCAAATGGATCGGAGCTTGACTCTCTGCACCTCCCCCTTGATCCTCTGTGGTTTCGCGGGTAGCCGCTGCGGCTGAACCTGTCCATCTTTGCACGTTCAGTGGTGAAGGAAGAAAAGAAGTGTCCACACCCGTAGGTCCCCAGACTGAAGGAAGAGGTTAGATCAGTCTGACTGACCACTGTGTAAGATTTCGGGGTCCTATATAACTGATCTAACCTCTTCAGCCTTCCTGAAGAGGAGACCTAAAGCCTAGGACGGTGTGATCGACGAGTTCTTTTGAAGACACACGTCGTGTTGGTCCACCCTGACCTGCTCCAAAAAAGAGGTGGCCAGAAAAAATGGGGGTGCCTTTCATAAAGTGAACATAGAAGGCTTAGAAGTTCCAGGGAGATTTGCAGGTTCTCAGTCGTCCGTCTTCGACCGGCCCAAAAGCAGCTGCTCACCCACCTGGCCCAGGTTCGTTGAGAGGAGCTGGCGGAGGTCGAGGCACATCCGCCTAAGAGAAGGACCAGCGGAGCGGTTCAGCAGCTGAGGGTCCAGTCGTGCGGCGGAGAGGTCGTTGGGAGGTCGAACACCTGGATGCGTGTTGCCAGTTTCAGGGGGTTGCGGGCGATTCTCCCCGAAACATGCCACGAAGCAGTTGGGATCAGTTGCCTCCAACTCTAGATTTCGGTGCACCTTCGATGCCACCTGGAAGTTTCGCGGGGACCTTGTTGAAGGTTTTGCAGCAGTCGCCGATGAACCTCGTCTCTTGCCCTAGGCCGATTGTGCCAAAGCATGTTAAAACCGTAGACATGCTATGCTGGGGAGTGAGAGGTGTTCTATGGTGGCCAATGATCCGGAGGTGCAGAGTAGACGCATTGCAGACATGGTTGAGCGTCACTGCTTGACTCAACCGAGTCACACGGTGTGATTGGTGTATGTCGGCTTTGCCAAGCCTGCAGAGTTTACTGCTGCACATATGACAGGGCCTGTGTAGCTTTCGAGCTCAATGGCTTGAACATGCTTGAACCGCATCATCCTAAACCACGTCAGGTCAGCTGCATGGTGCATGGTCCATCCAGGTCCGCCAGGGCACCAGAGACGCAAAAAATTCGATGGAAGACATGGCGGCTGGCTCAGCCAATTGAGTGCAGATAAGGTGTTATTGTTGCGATTGGAGTTTGCACTGGCTGTTCTTCTACAAAAATGTCTGCCAACTTTGCAAAAACATTGGGAATGACACCAAGATACACCAAGCATATAATAGTATAGGGCAAATGTTGCTGCATCATTTGGTGACAACTGCCGCAATTGGCTGCGGGCCAAAATCGCAGCACACAAGCATCCAGCCCCGGTCCAACCCTGCAAATCAGCGAGATGGGTCAAAGGTCAAAGGTATGAATCAGTTACAAGTTACAAGTGGCCTGTATGGCACGAACGATCCCGCACCCCAAGGGAGTCTGGCTTCCGCTCAGTCTAAGGGTTTGAACCAAGGCGACAGAGGCACAAAACGATCCCAAGCCAGCAAGTCGGTCGGTCCTTTTTCATGCTCGGCAGACTTCGCTCGACCTCCTTGCAGATTGAAGGGCCCGACACATGTCACATGCATTTCGGGATCGGCGGCCTGGAAACTCATTCACAGTATCATAGAAGAACCCTCATAAATATCTCTGCCTAGACCTTCCAACTGCAAACTGAAAAGGCAGACATGCTGCATAGTTGAAAGAACCAGGTATAAGACTCTTTGCCCCAAACCTCGGGCTTCAAATGGATTCTCCCAAAAGAGTCTGCGATTGGAACTGAGAAAATAGTTCGGTTTTGATGCAACAAAGGACTTAGCGCTGCATACCCACAACTGCTGAGGTCATGTTCACACTGCTGCAGTAGTTGCCATTGCGCATGAGGTCTCGCGACGCGCTGTCGCTACACCCATCAGGCGCTGTCTAGTGCTTTGACTGACTGACCTCAACCCACGCTCAACTCAAATTGCTGCAGCCTGGAATGGGAGAAAGTGGGAGCCGTCTCCACAAGTCCATCTTGACTCCTTCCAGTCCTTGCCATCCTGCGCCTCCAAAAAAGGGTCACATCGGTCAAAAGATTCAACATGAACTCCACTGGGCTCCGGTGGAACTTCGTTCGACCTGTGATGATATCCCTTCGGTCTCTTCCCCACCCTACGGCTCTGGACCCACCGGTGGCCTCTTGAGGCTCCACTGCCATCTGTGCCACGGAGGGGGCGCTTGGCTCCTGTCCAGCCGAGCCGAGCGCGCGCGGTGCCCGGGGCGAAACCGAACACCGAAACCTTCCGTTATGATCCACCGCTGTGTGTGAGAGAGAAGAGACAGCGGCCAGTCGTCATGCCAGGTCATGCCAGGTCATGATGCAAAAGGCCTGCGGTTCTTCAGCGTGTGGCGTTCTTCGTGCTAAGATGCCGGCCGCACTGGCAGCAGCCCTTAGATCTGGCTCCACCGGCGTGCTCACCTGAGGAAGTGCCCAGTATAGACGGGGCCTTTCGAAAGGTAAGGTACATAAAACATTCCATTCTTAAACCTGAAGGGCTTCCAGATCCACGTTGAGTCACAGTCGAATCATCCTTCATCAACACCATGGATGCTTTGTTGGATTCTTCCCAAAACAGTTCGGAAACCCATCACTGCCATCAGAACCCACCCCCCCCTTCGTGTGGTCCGGGCTCAAAACGCCACGCCTGCTCGACCCAAAAACCGGTCCCGATCGGGTCGATCGAGGCCTGTCACCCCCGGGGGGGCGCATCTGAGACTTCGGGCGTGGAAGCTCTCACCCCGCAATGCCTGGGCAGCGCCGCGCGGCGGACCGCGGCTGACCGCTGCCCGCGGCGGACGGGTGTTCGCGAAGCACCATGACGAAGAGAAGTGTCTGCGTGACAGAAGAAAAGAAAAACAAGGGCCAGCAGTATGGGTGCTAGTCGTGGTTAGATCAGGGATTCGTCTGAAGCTCTGCATAGCTCTGCCCAAACACCAGAAACCGGAGCAATGAGCACTGTTCACCTTTTTTGGGGCGCCCGAACAACACGCCCACCAAACGGCTCTCATTGGGTACCCCGCCATCGGAACGGTGTCATGTCCCGAGACGTCCTGCGCGGTGCGGTTGGACCCCGCACCGAAGGCGCCTGGTTGAAGACCCGAAACCAAAGACCGGAGAAATCCGGGGCTGGGGAGATGTTCCTTGGAAGCTTGAAGTTGGAAGCTTTAAGAAGAGAACCTTTGCTTAGCACCTTTTGTCCTGGTGCTTTTGACTTGACTGTGTCTCCGAATCCAATCTTTCGGGGACCTTTGCTTTACAAACGCTGCTCAAAACCTTTGTGTCACTCGGAAACCTGTCTTGAGAAGCTTTGCCGGCAGCCAATTCTTGGAAGCTCTGCTTGGAATCTTTACTTGAAACCTTCTAGCCTCGCATGCTTACACAACTCCAAGTCCTAGCTACCATCCTCAACCTTGCCAGCAACCTAAGCCAGCATTGTCTGAACAATGCAGGTTAAGTTGGCTAACATCAGCATGTGTTTTGCACTCAAAAAGCTGCTAGTTCTCCGCCTTCCCCGGCCTTCACATGGGGAAGCATTTCGCAGGACTCAACTCCGCTCCCACCGTGCCCCGCCTGCGCGGGCTCAAAAGCTTCAATCTCCACATCATCTGGGGACTCCACGTGCAAGCCATGGGGCGCCAGCCTAGTCAACTCGCTGCAGACGACTCCAGCTTTTCGTCTACCGGCCGCCACGAGTCTCCCGGGGCCGCTGGCGAGTCGACCGGATGGGCGGTTGAGGAAACGTAGGTCGGTCGGTCGTTCTACGTTGAACCTCAGAAGCGGACTAGATCCAATCTGAACCTCAAACGTCGAGGAGCAGCAACATGGGGTGTGGATTGACCTGAGAAATGAGGAGAATTTGGAACAAATCCAACTTTGCTTCATATGCTGGATCTGACTTTGCTCGGACCAGGCGACCCCATGCAACCCCAGACTTCCAGAAACCGGTCGCCCGAGCGGCTTCCGCAGCGAGCGGAACTCGCGAAAGGACCGGGAGCTGGAGTCGTGCAGGTTTCGATGTCCTTTCGTGAATAGAAGAAACTTGAGCCTGGCTACCCAAGTCAACAGCTCACAACAGCTCACAACAGGTCACAACAAATTTAAATATTAATACGGAAATAGAAACGGAAATTAACTGGATAAATAGAAACAGAAACTAAATCAAACAATACAGCAACAGATCATGGTTTCTTGACAGGCTTCCGGGGGATCCCATCATACACATTGTCGCAGTATGCTATGTTGCAAACTAACAAGCGTCACAATCAAAACAAACCCATCACGACACAAACATGTGCACACGTCAACCAGCCATTGTTCGCAGTCCAATGTCAATATTTGTCTCAACACTTCTCAAACTTAATGATCAAGAAATCAATGTTCAGCGCCTTCCACTTCTTGTCGTAGCGATCTTGCACTTCCCACCCAAGCGATATGTTACAGTCTTCATGCCCTGCGTCCCCAAGGTTAGTCTCTCCGATGTGTCCATAGAAAATGTTTAGAATTGCAATGTGTGGCAAGTCGCCAAGGACTTCGTGGGCCAAATCCGCTGACGGATCAGAAGAGTCACCTTGTCAACGAATTATTACGTTTGTCTTCCTTGATTTCCTTGACACAAGAGAGACACAAGATGGAATTGATCCCAGACACTCTCGTGATCTTCCTGCAGCAGATGCGGAGGCGAAGAACCCCAAACAATGTTCTCTAGGTTTTCTGAAAAATAGAAAGTTCGGAGGCCTCATGGACCGAACGAATGCCAAGCAGTCGGTCTTCTCCAGTCTGGTCGTCTGGTCTCACACCGATCGATGTCGGACTCGACCCTCGGACCGAAGGACACCGAGGTGAAGGGCCGCCCAAACCGTCCGGACCGAGGCGAGTGGCGCAGGCGGCGCACTCTTCTCGTCCCGCACGGACGGGGACGGTCGCCTGATCATGATCCGGGCGTTGTTGCTCGCTCGAAGAAGTTGCGCCTTGTGCACCTGACGTCGCGGTTGGGGAGAGGAACGGGCGGTCTGAGCGGATTGGGTGTCCCGACAAAAAGAACAACGAAGGCAAACCAAGACCAGCGCCACCAGTGGGTCTGGTGTTTCGCCGGGAACGTGTGACACGGACGCGACTCCGGCAAATATTAATGAATATTTTGTGTCAAAGAAAGATCAGAAGTATATGGGTCCTTGTGAACTAGAGGGAACACACACCTCCCCCGAAAAAAGGACGGCTCTTCCGATGCCAAAACGTGTCGGTTCTGAACCCTCCTTCCGGTGCTGTTCCCCTCTCTCCGCCGCCTCCGTGCGGATCAGCAAGGTGGCCTCGGATATCGGAGGGACGTACTCCGCTGACCGGGACCGGAGACGCTCCTTCGGCCCAGTGCATGGCTTGCCGCGAGTGGACCTAAAGGCGGCCGAAAACGGTCGGAAGGGTCCCGACGGTTCCGGTGGTGGTAGGGTTTTCTTCCAAGCTCGTTTGGTTCCAAGCTCCCGTTCTTGGGGCAGAAACTGGGAGAAATGTAGTCAGTAAATCTGAGCATCTTCAAGGTGATTACTTGATGTTTCTTGTTTCAAGGAGTACAAGGAGCACAAGGGTCTTTCTGGCGCGGACATTCGCACAGCCCTTCCAGTTTTGAAGCCACACCTTATGCACCGTCTTTCGGTGTCTGCGCTTGTTTTCCTCGTCGTCTTTCGGTGTCCTCCCAAGACTTCCGGACCTACGAAGCTCCTTTCCGGTCATTCTGCTCCGGCGATCTACGAAACACGTCACAAAAAGGACCATGTGGTGCCACCACAATATATACAGTAACTATATATGTTTATGGGGCAACAACACCAAGTAGAGGGGCAGCACGTTTTTTTGTTTGCCGAGCAAAAAACGAACCTTGCTAGTCAGACCGCATGTTGCTTGACAGTTGTGAGAGAAGAGTGCCAAAACGACTGTTTCTCAAGTACCTGGATCACCGGCCCGGACCCATCTCTCCTCATCCTCCTTCTACAAAACTCCCACGCTTCACTCAGCTCAGGCCTGCCGGCCTCTATGGGTAAACCAAGGCGCTTCCGTGAACGCGCTTCCGTGATGAACGTTGAACGCTTATATCACCCTGCAGCACCTGATGTGTCAACCCAAGTCATCCCAGACAAAGGAAGCAAAAGGAGATGGCATTGCCACCTCCAACTGGCCGTCAAAAGATCACCCTCCCAAGAGCTTCTGAACCCGAGGCACTACACTCAACATCTCCGCGCGGCGCTCGCGGTTTTCCACACCTCGTCCAGTACGTCCGGGTCCCCTGACGCGTGGTTCTCGTAACCAGCCCGAGGCCAAGCCTGGCGCCCGCGGCTTGGGCGAAGCCCGATCTCGGATCTCAGTGTCCTCTTTCGGAACAATCATTTGTTTCTGGTTGTGGCCTGGGTGTCCAGGTCTCTCTATACATTGATTGGCTCAAAACGCGGGAGTTGCTCTTTGGGACTTCAAGCCTGAAGACCTTCTGGAACACACGAACAGCACATCTAAGAGTACCAAGTTAAGGCACCAGAACGTCGTTTCCGAATCAGATTGCAAACACCATTCCTCCAGCTCGGACCTACCGAATGGGTCGATACTCACCTATCAGGATTCTTGTCTCGGTTGTTTAGCTTGGACAAAGACCCCCGTCGAACACATGCGGATTCTAAACCGTGGCCCGTCTCTTGCAGCGTTCTTAAAGAATCCGAACACGACCAAACCACACCCACCGCGGCGTACACGGCGGCCACCGTTCTCGGGGGCCCCGACCATACACGTCGTTGGCCGGAATGGTGTGCTCCACCGCGTCCTGCCCAGTTCTTTCCGAACCGCCCGGTCGCCCGGTTTGTTGTAGCCCGGCCAAGTCTACGGGTGGCCGCAAGTCTGGTGAGAAGGAGCCCACGGCCCGTGGCTCGTGGATCAAACGATCCAAACTTTTGGTGCCGGAAGATCTAACAGAGCTTATATAAGTGACCTGAAGTTCAGGACCCGTCACCCCGGGACGCACCTCTTCAGTCAAACCTAGGGTAACTCGGCTTCTGAAACACCTCGGTCATACCGGGCGTCTCGGCCCTTGTCTCTGCGCTCGTTTCGGATCGAAATCGATCAGTCCTCTGGACTGGGTGTCTCGGCATTTCGAGCGAGATGGACGATCACCTGGACCGGGGGAGTTCCAAAGAGTTCCGTGGCCCGGTGGGGAGAGAGGTGGCGGTGGGACTGGTCGCCGGTGGACTTGGTCGTTTGGACGGTGGTTCAATGTTTTTGGGCGGTTTCAAGTGGAGAAAAGCTGAGGTGATTCGCGAGTGAATGAGGATTTGAATCGAATCTCATGTCAGCAGTTGTTCTTCCAGGTAACGGTTCTTTGTCCAGCAGCGACCTTGTTTCCCTTCAAGTCGAGTGACGGAGCGTCACCTGTCCGTGTTTGAGGCCGTGTGGCCGGTGTGAGTGCCTTCTTTTAAAGCCAAGGCTACAGGAGAAGTCCCTGGTGCTGAGGATTTCGCTGGCTGATTCGTTTGGTTGTCAATGTGCACCTCAGACAAGCAAAGCGCTGGCGATAGTGAGTGGTTGGGTGTAAGTCTCAAAGTTTGGGTACATTGGGTTTCCCCTTCTTTTTCAGAAAAGTTCTGAGGGTTATTCTTTCACCACATCCGTGCAGTAAACAACCTGGGTTGTTAACATCATGTTTTCGGTCGGTGTCTGTGAATTCCATTGGGTTTTTCGAGTGATCAGATAGGCAAGTGCATGCTGGGCCTAGAGCACTGGTGTCTCACTGGTGTTTCACTGGTTGACCGGTGAGGCCTCACTGGTTGACCGGTGAGTGCCTCTTTTTTGCGCTTGCAGTGCACAACCCTGAGCCCGGCATCCTCCCTGCTCAGCATGCCCCGCCCAGGGTTCGCCAGGGCTCACGCCAGGGTCATCCAAGGGCTCACGCCGGCCAGGCCATCCTCGCCCATGGGAGAGGAGGGCACAGGTGCTCGGAAGACCCAAAGGTGTTGAGAAAGGTGCCCACTCCTCCCCAAGATGCTCTAAAATCCTCCAAGGGCAGTATCAACAAGAAGTAAACACACAGTCCTTCCATGTCGTTTGACGATCTCAAGCTGAAAGGTTCGAGACTCATGGGATTTGAATCAGTTAGATCAAAAGGTGGTACACATGTTGTTTTGACCACAAGTCTCAATTCACAAAATGACAAGCTCTTGTAGAACCTTGTAGAACAAGTCTCCGATGGGATTGCCTGCGCACCAACACGGGACAACTCTGCCACTGTGGCATCTATGTAACTGCATGACGTTCAAAATGATTTCCGCATTTGACCAACGCAAACAATGACGAGTCCGAAGTCGACTGTACACCTGGTTGTCACACGGACGGCTACCCTCATTTCGCAGGACTTCAGGGGATGATTGCTAGCAACCCCTTGGACGGTCATGGCAAAAACTAGTATTTGCAACATATAGCTAGTTATCTTGATCTGATAGATAACATGCAGATACGTTTATACGCAAGACCCCAACCTACCACCCTTTATTCATATATACACATTTCAAGACTCAAGCTCAAACGATTCGCGTTTGTTTTCGCTTCGTGTTGCTTGCAGCGTTTGGGTGCATGTTGGCATCGGTTACCCAGCAAACTGTTGCTGACACCTGCCCAATCTAACGGGCCTCTCGGTCGCTGGGTCTCCCGAAGCGGGTGTGTGGTTGATGTCGTACCTTCGACCTCAAGTTCACTGCACGTACGATCGAACGAAAACCACTAAGTGAAGAGAGGGCCAGGTAACATGCAACTCAAAACTCACCCCTTTTCATACCCAAAGCTGCAGCTCACGACCTAATCTACGATGTCCGGTCTGGCCCAATTCAGCAGCTTCTCTTTGCACCTCTCACATGCAGTCGTCTGCATGTTTTGTGGCAAATCCGCTGGCTCCATAATGGCCTTTGCCACCCTTCCTGCTGCGATCCAGGGCCATCCGCATGCCGTCACCCATTCATTCGGGTGATTCCTGAAGCAGTTGCCCATGGTGGAATGCAGCTTACCAGTCATCAAGTTCAAGACAATCTCAGGGTGGCTCCACTGGTTGAACATCTTCAAAATCGCTGAGCGGTCCAAGGGCACGTTGCACTTTTCGGCCAATTCTTCATATTCGGACTTCAACTGGTCGTATGCCAAGGCCATGTCGTTCGTCTTGGCTGACAAAGCAGCAATCTGATCCCTCATCTCCAGGTGGTTCAGCACTTGCAGATTTCCATCTGGCGACTCTTCATATGCTTCCTCGACATACGCCAGCACTGCCGATGATGAGTGCCTTGCAAAGAACTGAATTAGGGGGAGCGGAGTGTTCTTCCGAGCTAAGTCCTTCACTCCTGATCGCCTGAACGTGTGTCCAGACACCTCATTCGTGGCCAGCGCACTCGCTTCCGGAAGTGAATGGCTCAGTCGACGAGCATCATGTTTGAATGCCTCAATCATTGCAGCCTTCTCAACCACCAACATGGGATCCTCCTGTTGTCCAATCAACGGAGCGTCCATCACCTCTGCCGACGATGAAGTGGTCATCAAACGATGTCCTTGCCTCTGTACTAGATGAAGTGCCGTGCAGTACGGGCATGTCGACTTCTCTTCCGGACTCGACTTGCAGATGCATCCAAGGGTGCGACGTGCCCCACGACCTGATGGATCGTTCTTCGTCACCGGGAGGTTGAGGGTGACCTGGAGCAGACGGGGATTCAAGTCGACCTCCTTCATGTAGATGCACGCTAATTCCTGCTCACGCAGAATGAAGCGAGTGGCGAACACCCATACTTCGTACCGGTCCGCCGGCCATGCAGGGTTTCCAGCATCTCTCGGGCCTTTCTCGCGAAGGAAAGCCAGCCACTCCAAAGGCACTTCAGGAGCTCGAGGGGGTCCAATGGCCCTTGTCACAGCTCTTTTCGCGTCTCGCATGGCCATGTGAAGCACGTCCGACACTGGGTATAGCCCTTCCGTTTGTGCCATTGGAATGCCTCCGATCGAACCGGCGCCAAGATGGGCCCTCTATTGTTTCTCATGCCTCCCCGGCGCCTCTGACATGAACGAAGGAGCATGTCGCATGAAACAACTACGAACCTAGCCTGCCTGGATCCCGTTCGGCTGCTGTCATTTTCTCTTTTCCGCGACGTGTCCAGCGTGCGTGTCGTGACAGGGCCAAGCTCGAAACAACGAAGAAAGGGGAGGCACCTTCACCTGTTTTGCGTCTTTCAAACCTGTGGGGATCTGTGCACCCTCGCTCAATCTAGAAAGCGAATCTGCCTACAAGTTGAGGACGCCCCTCAAGCGCCGGCCCCAGACTGCATCGATCTCGAGCGACTCCAACTGCAGGGCGACCTCCCCTGCCAGCTGTGCCATCAGGGGGGACTTTCCCCGCAGTGTCATGACTGTATGTAAAGCTGACGTGCTGTCGCGATGGGCGAAAACCTGAATGCATTGTTCTTTGAACAATTCGGAAAACAACTTGATTGAAATGAAAATGGCCAACAATTCAAATTCCGACTGATATGCAGGGTCATTCAAGCGTGCTTGTCCACCTAAGTCCTGACAGTCCTGCTCTGTTAAGACATGTCCAATGAAATGAGTGGGCTTTTCGCAAACGAACAGCACACTTCCAAGACGCGTGGGGGATGCATCTGTCTCAATCCGGATCACTGTGGGGTTTCGGTCCCAACGAAAGGTCCGAACGAGCGGCGGGGCAGCGGACGAACATGGAAGACACGATTTGACTTGCAACAGCTCTCTCAGCCACCGGATCGGATGGGACACCTGACGAACAAACGTCAGACCCTTCCTCCGACGTGTCTCCGCCCGCTTAGGTCCCGAGGCCATCCTTTCCTTTGACATGGCCACCGCTGCCCACAGTTGACTCGTCCATGGCCTGGCCAATGGAATGAGATGGGATACCCACGACAGGATCCCGCACAAATGCTCAAGTCGTTTTGTGGCCATCATACCCTTACAGGTTTCGACTTCATGGATGGCTTCGGTGACTTTGGCGGGGGGGCAACGAAATTTCCAGGCGCCTACCGTGTTCACCCACCAAGGTCAACCGAACTCCGATCCAATCGAGTGAGGGGCCCTCTTGGCCTTGTGCCACGCAAGCTTGAAACCTAGGGCCTCCCAAACAATGTGGTTTGCAAGAACCAATATGCCATATGCACGATCACGTGCAATCCGGCCCTTTGCAACAATTATCGGATCATCTACATAGACTGAAGTCTCGCGGTTTGCGAGGGAAAACAGGCCCAACACGGGACCACATGCGAGCCCAAAGCAAATACATTTGGGGAGTATATACGTGCCATCGAGTGACTTGATGCACAACCACTTTCGTTCCCTGGGGTCAACCCGGAGTGTGTAAAAGGCGTTGGTGAAATCGACTACCATGAACTCGAGTGACTCTTCAGGGTGCATTTCGTTTAAAAGTTCACGTGTGGCTGCAGCAACATCTGACACTCTAGGTAAACAAATTCTTTCAAACAATGACATGCATCCGTTCACACCGGACCTTCTCACGTCGACGATCAACCTGGTTTTGATCTTCCCATCCCTTTCCTTCTCGATGCAAGCCAGCTGAGTCAATTTTGCTTCCGGTCCAACGAGGGATACCACTTCAGCCCAGGTGTTCGCTCTATCTGCACGGCCAGTGTCCACCATTCGGTCGAGCTCTAACTGAGCGCGCTCCCCAGCTTCGTAGAACGAGGCGTAGTTCTCCGCCTCTCCATTCCAATCCTCAAGGAGCACACCCAAGGCCTGAGAGGCCTTGATTGAAGCGGACACTTCATCTGTCGCTTCGTGTGCTCTATTGGCACACTCAGCCCAAGTGGCACCCCTTCGTCCAGCCATCTCGGCAGGACCTGAGCATCAGCGTCGCTGGCAGCATCCAGCATTGCTTGAAGTAGGGCGATCTTGTAGCCCTCTGCATTCTGGGCTTCATTGACCTCAAATTCTTCATGCAGCACTTGCACCGCTTTCTGTGTGAGTTCAGGAGACACTTTCATATCTTCTTCAAAGAGCCTCAAGTCGTGCTCTTCGATGCATAGTGCCAGCGCCTCCCGAACTCGGTGCCCCATCTTCCTCAAGGCCCTATTGCATGCCACTGCTTTGCGGGGGTCTCTCAACCCCCCCACAGCGGCAAGATTTTCCTCCTCTCTGATCTCGATCTTCGACTTGTTGTTGGCATCTCTCGATGCCTGCAAGCTGCTTGTCTCTTTCTTGGCCTCCTTGGTGCACTCCTTCTGGGCCGCCAGCTCTTCTCTCTTTCTCTTCATCATCTCCAACTTGTTCTTCATCAGGATCAGCTGGTTGCTCTTCGTGTGCACCATCGTTCTCGATGCCAGCCATTCGTATCCCCTCGGGCTCTCCAACCACGTCAGCAAAGCCTGGGCCCAGGCATTGCATAGGCCGAAGGGATACTCTGCTGCCCTCGAAGTCTTCCACACCCATTCCCCAGTCACGGGGTTCCACGTCCCAGACAGTCCGCCTGGGAGGTGGAAATGCGGTCTCACGTCCTCGCACCTCACCTTCACCTCTGCCATCCATGCGGCTGAGGTCACGATCTTTGTACTCTTTCTGGTGTGAGCTCCGTACGGGCACTGGTCCAGGTCCACGTTGCGCACGCCTGCTCTTTTCAAAATCTTCATCATCTTCGGCTGCTCCCAGGCGTACGATGTCAACGGGTTTTCCAGTAACCATGTCTTGCCAGCTTCTTCGATCAGGTAGATCAGGGCGATCACCCGTTCGAGGATTCGGTTTCCTTCCTCTGCTGTGGGGTGTCCCCATCCCTCTGGTCGGCTGTCTGATCTGATCACTGGCACTGAACCGTGCCCGTCTTGCCTCCGAGCCCTCGAGAAGCTCCTGCGTGGGAAGGCCATGTGAGTGTGATCTGCGTCCAAGACAGCACCCTTTGCTTTCTCGAAGCCCTCGTCTGTCAAGATGTCCCAGTCCTCCATCACGTCCAAAGGCTGTTGAACTTCCACGAGATTTCCGCAAAGTCTTTCGATCTCTCGCGAGAGTTCCAGGAACTTGAACTTTCTGGCGCTGTCTTCCTGCTCGAACTTCTTGTCCTCCGCCGACTTCTTGGGTGCATTGTCCGTCGGCTTCATCTCCACTCCAGCTTGCTCGGCCTGGGCGATCACAGTGTCGATGGCCGGGTCCTTCATCGTCTTCAGCTCTTTGGGTCAGTTCTTGTTCTTGGTCTTGCCCTTTCCCTTGCCCTTTGACTTTCCTGAGGTCTTCTCCGGGCATTGGGTGTTTGGGCGCTTCCCCAAGCACACCTGGCACGAGTGGACCCGTCCATCTTTGCATGGTTCCGGACAGTCTCCGGGCTTGCCCTTGGCATACCTGAAGCATAGTTCGTGGCCTTCTGAAGTGGTGATGTATTGCTTGCCCCACTTTTGCGGATGGTCTGAAGCACTTCCACTTCCTCCGCCAGCATGGGAAGGTGCTTCTTTCTTCGCCTTCTTCGGCCTCTTCTTTCGGCCAGGTCCATCCTCCTCCAAGCCCAAGGCATCCTTCGCAGGCGATGGAATGTTGACCTTCTCCGCCTTGCCCATGGTCATGTTGCGTCCTCCACGGGCTATGAACATAGTCGCTGGCCCTATCACATGTTCGTCCCAGAACTCCCGGTTGCGAGCTGCGTAGGTGAAGACACCAATCCAGGGTTGGTTCGGCTGAAAATCCAGCCCCATCGGAAGGCGATTGTCGGCTGCAGCCTTCGTGAGATGTCTTCTGTATCTTTCGAACATCTCTGATCGGCATTTGTCCTCGGCCTTCGTGATTAGGTGCCAAGTCTCTGGGAAGTCCTGGCTCAACTTGGAGATGCGATCGTAGTACTCCTCCAGGCAAGCGGATGTGACCACTCTCAAATGATCTGCTCCTGCAACTGCGGGGGGCTACCTCAGCATGAAAAGGATCGCCCTGAACACCTTCCAGCATGCTTTCCATGCATCGAAGGATGGCGGCCCTGGGATATCCAGGGCCTTGAGGGTGCCGTCCTGCTGGAGCAGCCACGATCTCGTTTTCAGCTGTTTCTGCATGGTCCTGCCGAAAGGAGTCAGTATGCTGAAATCTGCATATGGGCTTTCGCCCCAACGAACAATGCGGTCTCGAAGGGCAGCAATTTGCTCTGATGTAGGTTCTGAGTGTTCTGCTCCTGTGACTTCGATGTGCCACAGGTGTGCCTGGTCCAGTTCTCCTCGGGACATGAGGTCTATCTCGGAATCGTCCATCTGGTCCGTGACTTTCACTTTCTTCGTAGGTGAAGCTCCTGCAACGACCGGACCTCCTGGAGCGACCGCAGGAACTGGAGCTGGGTCTGCCAGTGGATCGATGTCCGCCATGACAAGGGATTGCCTGGACACCCTCCACATGTACGCGACGTGGATCATCTCCATCGCGTGCAACTCCCGTCGATTGGGGTCTGTGCCCACACGGATGGTCCTCAGGGTTTGCCTCCGCGTGGAGGCAGGCAGCCTTGCAAACAAAGTTGGCGTAGCCACCCCACCCAAGGCCTGGTCTACAGCATTCCACACCGCCTCGGTACAGTGGCAATGAGCCCGGATGCGAGCCATAGTGTCGAGCGAGGCCAGCGTGCGGCATCCGGCAGGCCATACCCTGCCATCGTCAAAGATGCCTAGTGCCACTCCCACTGCAACGCAGCAAAAGCAGAAGGGCCGATGCATGCGCTCAGCGGCCCCGCTCGATCGCGGCGCACCCACGGCGCCAGGCAAAGACCAACTCCAATCCCCCAACAAAAGGTCATCAGCAGGAGGATTTCAAGAACCATGGGGGCAAGGACCTAACCTCGCCCTGTGGGGTCACTTGAGAGGTCATACAACGTGAATCGATCAAGTGACATCGAAACCACCCTAGCGCGTTCACTCCCTGCTGTTTTCACTGCACAAACAAGTTTGTTTCACAAAAGCTACTTGAGGACTAGACTAGAAGATCTCCAAAAACTCTCCAGCTTCCCAGCATTTTCCACCTTCTTCCACCCCGTTCTGTCCCGCTTCCCACTCGCGCGCGCGCGCGCTGTTTTCCGTGGCGTCGGTCCTGCAGGGCTCGTCCAGCGCCGCTGCCCATGGGACGGACGGGGCAGTATCCGACTCGGCACGATCCGAAGATGTTCACCAAGTGAAGTAGGTTGACGACCACCATGACCGGTGGAACATCCAGACTCAATGGAAATCACATGACATGAAATACCGTCGAATCTCTACTGAAGCATCACTCTGTGATCGTGATCCTGTCCCAATCCTGGTGTCTGGTCAAACCTTTGTGCTGAGCCTTAAGCCACAAACTCGACACAAAAAAGATCAAAAAAGGCTACACTGCACGTCTTGATGTGACACGGTAATGGGTTGACATTTCGGAACCACTGAGAATGTCAAAGATCAAGTGGCTAGCGGGTCTGATGAACAAAGTTTGCCCAACGAATACTTCCGTGGCGGGTCTCCGGGTGGAGCCCACCACTGCCGACCGCCGTCCCTGTCGTCTGAAAGGTCCACCGTTGCCGTCCATTGCCTCTCGCCGTATCCGAATGCACGACCATCACTAGGTACTTATATACTATGCCGTTGCATGTGATGCGCACACGTGTCCCACAGGGATGTTGATTGGACCAAGCCCACAAATCATGATTCTCCCACAAGGGATGTCGCCGGTCGACCGTGCTTTGAGCACCCTTTGGGAGGACGCACAAGGCGCTTCCACCGATGTAGCAGTGCTCAGCCTGCTCCTGCCGCCCATCGCGGGAGCTGAACGGCAGGTTTCACGGATCCGTCACCGATCTACGATGGAAATCAATGGAGATGTCTTCACCTACGGTGCAGCAAGGGGGAATTAGATGGACAAGGGATTATCCTACAACATCCAGCCATCAATGTGGGAAGGTGGTAGAATGAATGGTATCTGGATTAAATCCATTATATATCCAGTGTTGCATCCAACTTGGCTTGACTGGCTTGACTCTGAAACCTCACCCCATTCGCTCTTCACAGAACTTCTCAAGTCTACTTGCTCTCCACCCTCGCCCGTCGCACGTGCGACGGGGTGTCCCGTCGTCCTTCTCCTTTGTGCCTCGACGGGGATCGTGCGAAGCCCGCGGCCTCCGACCGAAAGACCCAGCGCTGCAATGGCCCGAACGGTTTCGAAGCCACCAAGGGTGGTTTTGTTGGCCTGAACCTGAACCACAACGAACAACACCAGGGGTCAACCTGAAAAATGCTCGTAAGGACTTTTGAGGGCATCGATCCAAAAACTGGGACGTAAGCTGTTGATCTGCTGTGATGCCAACACAAATCCTTCAGCTCCTGCAAAAAATGCAGGACTTCCAAGCTCCCTCCCCTCCCCTCCCTCGTAGCAACATCGAAAACCATCTGCCCTGGCTCATGAAGCCGAATCAACAAAAGATACCATCGTTCAGCAATTCAATACATTCAAATACATTCAATTTAGTCACGCTCCCCCCAGGAAAAAGAAAAAAGAAACACGCGCTCCCGTTCACAGCCCTTGGTCCCTCAAAACCTAGGGATTTGAGACCCCAGACCCCTCCATATGAGCGTCTGGGAAATAGAAAACACAGCCACGGTTCCTGATCCAGGACTTGCCCTATCGCAAGCTGGAAAACCAAGAATGGCAATCAAGAAAGGAGGTTGGATGAGAAAACCGACATGGGCCATGGCAAACCTCCAGGCAGAGCTCACTGATCCATGTCAACGCCTAGTGACGTTACTCTGGTGGTCACATAAAATAAGAGGTCTGTGAACTGACACTCCTAGCCCTCGGACATGTTTCACGTTTTCTTGGAGGCCTTGAGTTCTCTGGCTCCAACGGCAAACAGCGTGTCGCCTCGAGGTTGTTCCGCACGGCGCTGCCGAAGTTCCGGAGCCGCGAGGCATGCCCCTGGGAGCCGCCCGACTCAGAGAAGCAGACCTGGACGGTTCGAAGGAGGCGTCGGGGTCTCCACACGTAGCACCCGCCGGCGGGACCTGGCCACCCCAAGCCCGGCGGCCTTTTCGACCTCTGTGGCAAGCATGCGGAGGTTTTCATCGACATACCTTGCGGGTCACCCCGGAGACACACACATGTCGTATTTTGTGTCATGCAAACGTGCAATCACACAATTCCTGGTAGTCTTGGATATGTTGATCTGCATCGATCATCTCAAAGACATCAAAAAAATGCATACACTGCTGACTGCAATGGCATGCATTACCAGCATATCCAACAGCACTTATTCAACTGGCACAAGTTTTAACATCTTTGTATGCCCTCGAGAAAACAAAAACAAAAAGGAGGCGAGAACATCTGCTTGCAAATGCCTCGGGGCAATCTCATCAGACTGGTCGCTCTCTACCAACCAAGAATCGTTTTTTCCACGTTTTCCAAGAAAGTTTGTAAGGATGCTTTCTTTGTTGCTGGGACGCGAAAAGAAAATGGAAAATGGTGGATGTCGCTGAGATTCCCATCTGCTTCGTCTTCGAATCTCATCTCCAAGTCGCTCAGAGAGGCCCGAATCTTTCACCGCACGCAAGGTGGTCAAGGCTGGCTGGAGGCCAGGCACCTGGCCAGCGGCGAATTTTCTCGCAGACTTGGGATGCTGAACATTCAGTCCCTGTTGTGACAAGAAAAGAAAGATTACGCTACAGGTCCAGTCCCTCATTTTGATGGAGGTTTAGCTTGGTCTTTGGACTGGCAGGGCTATCTTGTCCTAACCAACCACTTCGAGCTTTGATTTAGACTCTTGCCATCTTCCATGTCATCAGTTCGGTCGTCCAAATCACACCAGTCTCCGGAGGTCCCTCAGCTGAACCGCCTCTCGAAAGCCCAGAACTGCACGTTCATCGTAGAGCATTTCCTGTGCGTTCATGACGGTGATCTTCGCGTGTCCATGGAAGAAAAGAAGTGCATGAGATATGAATGCTTAAAACCCTGGGTTTGGGTCTATTCTATTCTCCTTCTTCCAGAGAGGGTCGAAGAGACCAACTAAACTTGGGACCCTTTTTCAGACGATGACGTGGAACCGGTGCCGGTTCTGCTGCCGGAAGGTCCGTTCGGCGGAACTGGGCTTTGTCGAGGTCTTGCTTCAAGCAACTTTGGCACAGCGCAGCATCTGATGTCATTGATGTTGCACTCCCGATAACTAACATAGAGGCTGACAATGGTAACCTGGAAGATTGTTTTCCTCTACCAATCAGTGGTTTTCAGGGTCCATGTTAGTTTTCGGGAGTGTATCTGCTCAGTTCAACACCCAACTGTCGGTCGAGATGTGCAAGGAGAAAGAGAAACCGAACCACGGCCTGGGCGGCAACCGGACCACCTCACCGACGAAACCTTGTTCAAGCCGCGTGCGCACCGTGCGAACACGTGTTCGGTATGTGCCACCGGTGCATTCGTTCTTTCGTGGGCCAAGAAGCATTTGTGATGGTCAATGCCTTCAACTTCTTCCGAAATGGAACGTCCTGGAAGGGGCCGCACTCGGCACTCGAGTCCGCCAGCCAACCGCGGGCTCCCCGGCGTACACGACTCATGGAGACCTGGAACTCCCACGACTGCCTTGTTGCTGGTCCACCGAGACCAACGGACTCGGTGTACGGTGACTCGGCCTAACCGGAGACGTGGCTGGGACCGGGATTGACCACAGGTCGGGTGACACAGACCTCACACCGGGAGGCGAAGCATTCTGAACCGGTGGAAACCCAAAACAACAGGACGAAGCAGTCACCATAGCGACGCGTGAACTTACGGCAATACCAAAAAGACAAAACAAGAACAACGACTATATATCAGCTCAAGAAAGAGAACTACATAGAACCCAGGAGTCAGGGGCCCAGAGCCCTATGGTGGTCGTCTCCCCCATGACCTTTGGCTCCGCCTGCAGGTGCAAGGGGGGAACCCACCAAGACTCCAACAAACATCCCAACAAAACCATCGAAAACCCTAATCAAGAGGATGCATGACTGCCGGCCTTGTCACGCATGGCTGCGACCAGAAGCCGGATGGCTTCTGATGCCTCCTGTGGTTTTTCAGAAATGAGCTCACAAATCCTTGGTGGATGCAGTTGAGCATCCGAAAATCAACGGTCAACTCTTGAAAGCGGTAGTTCGCACACAACTGGGGTGCCTTTTTGGGCTGTCACACGAATATGCATGTTCATCTAGTTCATCCAACTACTCACTACTCGGACAGTGGCTTGCAAACACATTCGGTTTCGTGTTCAAAGCCGGAATTCCTTCTTTTTTGACTCCTGTTTTGCTGACCCATATCCTTTTTTGACCCCGCCCCCACCATTCTTTTTGATCCCCCACCCATTGTTTTGACCTTTTTTTGACCCCCTGAATTCTTGCTACTTTTTTGACATCCACTGTTTTTTGATACCCTCTTTTTGAAAACAATGTGGTGACACAAGGCATTCCTACAGCAGTGAGGCCTGGTGTTGATCGAGGTGCTCACCGGGTCGTTCGGCAAATTCGCTGCTTGTTACGGTGCATTCAACACATTCCTCGAAATCATCAAAGCGCAGAGCGAAAGGTGTTGGAACGGTTCCTCCTTTAAGGATTCATCCAGTGGCGGCCACCTTCCGTTGCAGGAGATTGGTCTTCCGTTCGACTGCAGCAGACTCTTCGATTCTCACCTTTTCGCTTCAAAGCCCCCGTGTCGGGTCTGTTTCTTCACCCACCTCCCGACCTCCCCATCCCTTTCGATCCCCTACGCCCCGACCACGCACGCCACCGGTCACGCACGTGCTGTCCGGGGCGCTCGGTGATCTGTGGAAAGTCCACCTTCGACCCAGGCAGCAAGGCCTTACGGACCAGGTCAGCAGCGGTGCCCGGCAGCGGCAGGAGTAGCGGCTGAGCACTCCAGAGCTGCACCCAGCCTGGGGAGTCGCCAAATGGTGATCAACGACATGGGAAATGGGCCATCTCAATTCAAAAAACCATTCTCATCCGCAAAAAAGGGCTGTTGTCCATGTCTGTGAGAAGTGGGAAAATGAATCTACCTCCAGGCGCACCAACTCCAACAATTGACACTCCCTGAAAACCTCACACCCGGGTCGACGGTTCGGCAGAGGGGTGCCAGTCCGACGGTTTCCCCTCAGTCGCACGCCCGGCCGTGGTGGTTTCAGGGTCCGCCCCGGAGCAAACACCGAGCGTGTTGGATCGGCGTTTGAAAGGAGCCACTGGTTCAAGCTCAGACGGGTTCGGCAGCTTTTAGAGCCGCTGAAAAGGAAGAAAGACCCAACTCTGATTGCAGCCAGATCCTCATTTTTCATCTGATCCCTCCCCCTTTGATGTGTCCCAATGGTATCTTGTGTGTGCTTGGAGTGTACTCCCTGACCCTTTCATATGACCCTTTGATGGAAAGCGACGCGTGCCTTTCATCGCCTCTTACGGATGGCCTGCAGCCAGGGCACTTTCGCTGCGCCAAAACTCCAAGTCGGAGGAATCCTGCAGCGTCTGAAAGAGCATTGAAAAAGTGCAGTTTGAAGGCAAGTTGTGCTGTTCTTTACAACCGCTTTGGAGTATCCTTCAAAGGTTTCACTCAGCCGCAAGGAAGCACACTGTGGTGGGCCATAGAAAGTCTCTCAGAAACAATAAGAGTTTAAACAATAATAAAGGGAGAGGGCAATCAATAACAAGTCAAAGGAAAGAAAGGCACCATGCTCCAGTTCGCAGGATTGTTGGGAGTGGAATTGCTAAGCAGGATATGAATGAAATAGTTTGGCCTCCACAAAGAACAATTCACTGAAAAACAAGTGGCGTGCCCAATTTTCTGCATATTATATAAGACTTTATCTTACACACATTCATGCGAATGATCTTTCTGTTGGCTCATGAGTCAGGCTGGACTTTATCTTGTCAAGCCAAGTGCTTCTGCCTTTTGTGTTTTTAGAAGCAACTTGTCAAGGTGGGCTTGGGTTCGCAGCAACCGATCGAAACGGTCCTCGGCCACTTCAGGCGGAAGTCGCACTCGTGGCTTTTCCATAGCGCAGACTTCCAAGCCGAAAGCTTTTGGCCTATAATTCTGCCCTCTTTGATATGTGCGAAGACAAAAACAAGAAAACACTTCTGTTTGCTTCAACCAGTTGAATTGCCATACACATTCATCACCAATTCCTTGCGAAATGATTGGTCACATTGTTGCTTGGAATGTGGTTGAAAGGCTGACTTCTCAGCAAGACATGGATGGCCTTTGAACTGTGGTTGGGAAGTGGGAACGCTCTCTAACAAGGCTGTATCACTAGTCTACAGTTTCCATGTCAGCTTTTGTTCAGGCGTGCTGCGTGGATGAATTTGCTGGGATTAAATCAAGAAAACAGCTCCATGGGCGTCATTTAGTCAGGCGTTGCAAACTCTGCCAATCAATCCAATTCCTGTCCGGCTTGCTGGATGTCAAAACGTCCCTACACCGTCACACTCAACGAAATTCGCTCCCAGACCCCCAGAAAAGGCAGCCCAGACCGTGCGTTTTCTTCTCCATTTTCACGGCAGCTGGGCGCCCGTTAAAGGGCGTTGTACCCCGCGTCCATGTCCTGGACGGACGGTCCGGACGGACGGTGGCCGCGGCGAAGCCGTGGCGAGAGACGACGACGAGACGCCGTCCTTGGCTCGTTTTTGCTTCTGCTGCGCATAGAGAAGTGTCATGGTGATCCCCAAGGAGCACAAGAAGCTGACCCCAGCCATGGCACCTGCGAGTCTCAAGGTGCGGAGAGTCCAGATGCTGATTGGAAGGAAAGCCAGAAACAAAAGAACATCAAGTTCATCACACAACGGTACGATATACATATATATATATATATATACACCTGGTATACCTCCAGAGCTCACCATCCAAAAAGATCAAATGACCGATGGGGAAATCGAGAGCTTCACCTCTGAAGAGCAACCAGAAAAGGCACCCCAGTGCTAAATACCAGGAGTCACAAAGCAAAGGGGTGGTTTGAGTTCCATCCAGTAAGACCATGGGCACCCCCTTGGTGACTGGAACATGGACGTCGATGCCGGCTGGGCACGGCACTCAGGGTCAGTCGTTCTCCAGGAGCCCCACCTGTTGCCACAATGCTGATGGTGCCATCCGTGTTCTCCTGGACTGAAAAAGACATGGACCATCGAGACTCTCTCGACCGACTTGCCGTCATGGACCGTGTGGACGGCCCGGTGCTTGGCACGTGGTTGAGGCATACAGGATGGAAGGTTTCTTGCTGGGGAGCAGTGGAAAACGTGAGATCCTGCCTCACCTCTGACATCCCTTGGTCATTCTGATGTTCTTCGGATTTCTGGGGTAATTCAGCAACTGCTGAGACCAGTGGTCATGACAAGGCTGAAAAAGCATCGAAAGCAGTGAAACCACCAGCCTTGGCCACAGAACAAGTCCTGAATGCAGCACAGGTCAAAAGATGTCAAAATTTGTCGAAATGTCACTTCTCTCTTGCCAGTGTCCTTCCCTCTCTGCTTATTCTCTCTGAAACAGAGCTCACTCTACTTTTGCTCTCAGTCCTGCCCGAAAAGCCTGGCTGGCAATAACACACACCAGCGTCGCACAGTCCACGCCAATGACCTGGGACGCGACCGCCAAGTCATCTCCGGCCACGCATGGGCGCTAGTGTACTCTCTGATGCTGAAAGCGTGTTTGTGTCACCAATAAGACTTGCGTGGAGATGAGAGAAAACCCTCATTTGGAACAAGCATTGCTTTGCGTTGGGCTGGCTGGAAATGACATGAATGATGTGTGTCATGTGCCCCCCCTTTGGTGTTGATAAATCAATGCGATCGTTTGCAAGTATCAATTCCAACCCTCCCCCTGTAAACGAGAACTTCAGCACTCGCTTTCGTGATTAGTCTACATCCGAAGCCTTGCGAGCTGAGGACTTCCTTGCTAGACTAAATGCTACATGACCCGCCCGCACCCCTGCGCACCACCCGTGCTGGCAGCGCTGTTTGCGCCTGTTGGCGCATCCAGAGTTCACCCCGAACCTCGCAACCCCCCGGTGCTGGCAGCGCCCCCGACAATTGTCTTCGCAGTCAGGTGAAGCTTCCCCCTCATGCCCATCCTGTGCAGGTCGTCGTTCTCTCGATCGATCGAACAGTCGATCGGACGGGAACCGCGCGACGGGTTCCCGGCACGGCACGGCGCTCGTTGGATCGATGTGAAGAAAAGCAGCTTCTTTTGTGACTAGTAACACTAGTAGCGATCAAAAGGATGGTTCTTGTTACTAGTAACACTAGTAGTGTTACTAGTGTTGCTATAGTAGTGTTACTAGATTCACACTTGTGAATGGTTCTTCTTGCTAGTAGCGATGCACTTAGTTGCTAGGGGACGGTCATCCTGCGGTGGAAAGCTAGTTCCAAACAGCTTGTTCTCAATTGTTACAATCAAGCCCTCACAAAGGCCGCCCCTGCACACACAACCCTCGGACCCGTCCTCGTTCACGTGGATACCAAAGTCTGCTGGCGAGATGCTCTGCCCATTCTGCAGTCGCCTCAGCTGGTTGACAGTCTCGACTCAAAACTCCAAGTCAAGCAACTCAAGTGGCCAAACCTCCTGGTTTTTGACCCATGGCATGCCAGGCATGCCATTCATCACCCGGGTGTCCCATCCTCTGAAAGGGGGGAGGGGACACAGCACCATTCTAGCGAGCCAACGCTTGGAGCCACCGAAGGCCTCACTCCAAACGCTTGGACCCAAGTCACGGCTCTTTGGTCTCTTTCTCAGTGAAGGAGAGAAGGTGTTGCACCAAGCGCCGAGCAAAGAAGGGGCGCGAGGCCGTCAGATTACCTGACCCGCACCCGCTTTTTCGTGAGAAGACGACACCCAGCGTTCTGCGGTGCGCTGAACCGGTGTTGAGGAGGTGTATGACTTCCCGAAAAGAGAATTGAATCATGGCTTGGTGGAGTGAACACCACCTGTGGATCCACGGGGGACAATGGTCATCCATTCGGGACCATGGCATCCACGTCATTGGCCCAGCCCATGAGCTTTTTCAGGGAGTGTGTTCAGGTGGCCACTCCGAGCATTCCAAAGCGTCTCTTTGAACAGGCAAGCCTTTCAAAGATTTCTAGAAACAGCCACAGGCCCGCAGGCAGCTACTCTTCGCAGCCATTGTCTGCTGGGTCAAACCTTGTTGATAGATGAACTGCCCCAAAAAAGCCTCCAATATAGTTCAACAGACCCAGAACTGTGGCGGCAATCTCTTCCTCTTCCTCTTCACTGTGAACAACACTGAAGCCCCCCTCTGCACCGCCTAACATCGGGCGTCAAAACCCCTCGTCGGCGGTCCCACACACTGGAGAGACCCCGACCAGCTGTTCGCGCCGCGCGGCTGTGGTTCGTGGCATCCGCAAAGCAGTCCAGCCCAGCCGCACCAGCCTGACACCTGGCGTCTCAGTCCGTGTGTCTGCGCGGGGTGGGTCTTGCGACCGACCCGCTGGTTTTCCAGCCTTGGAAGAAAAACCGGCGCTGGTGGTTGGCGCACTGAAAAGGAGCCCTCCAAAAGCCCCTGAAAGTCCAAAAAGGGCAGCCAAAACCGAAACGAAAGGGAATTCTACACATTCCAGCTTGAAACTGATGAATCGGTGAAAGCGAAGAAAAGAAGGTAAAGCATCTGCAGTCCATATTAAGTGAATTGATCTTGGCCAGACTTGGAAAGGGCTACAGTCCCTATGTTAGACCCAACTTGGGTTGAGTGACATCTCATCCCCCCTTTACAAGACTTCTGGATTGCTTGCTTCTGGCCGACTGCCACACGGACCATCTCTGTGTCGCTCTTTACAGGTAGAGAGATAGACTTCCAAGCTGAAAAACGCGCAACATGTTCATCCCTCCCTTCTGCCTGCAGGTGCCGCCAGCGAGGCATTCACCACGGCCGCTGCATGGAAGGGGGGCGCCAGGGCAGCGGGGTGGATCTTGGCACGTGTGACCACTCCAGCCGTTGCCTCGGACCCCCCCGGACATCCCACCGAGGCGTCTTTCTTCTCTGCAACAGGATGTAGGGTTGCTGCTGCACCCTGCAGCTTCGAAACGTGCAAACTCACTGAGTGGCTTGCTTATATAAACGTCTTTGAGCAACGACGGTCAACTTTACCAACCAGAAATACTGTCACAACAAGTCTGCACAAAGTCCCCAACAGCAGCGAAGCACGGCGAAGCGCTGTGAACTTCATGGATGAACGAAAGCACAGCGGAGAGTAAACATCCGGAAGCAAAAATTAAAATCAGTGGTCAAACAGGTGAAAATCACAAAAATGGTGGACGTATATAAATGTGATAGGGAGGCTCTGGAAACCACCCTGCCAACTTCTCTTCTCAGAACAAAATTTGAAGAGATAGTCTTATCATCAAACATCATATCCATCTTGAGTCTGAACCTATCCCCCTCTCTTGGCTCAAGGCCCATTCAGAGAATGAATTCGAGACAAAGGAAAAAGACTCCCAAACCGCGCGGTGGGTTTCAACCATCCCACCCTGCTCTGGAACCGCACTGCAAGCACATTGTCCATCTTGCCCACAAGATCCATGAAGGCCACAGTCCTCGCGTTCACCGCGACGCGAGGTCTGCGCCCCATCGCGTCAAACGTGCCGACAAAGGGGCGTCGCTGTCCCTTTTGGTTCGATCAGCTTGGGGAGAGAACCTCTCTTTGGCGCCCGAGTCCAAAACCCCGACCAGCTCGACCAAGCCACAAGCAACCAACCCACAAGCCACTCAAGCCATGGAAGACCCCTACCCAGCCGCGGCTCCAGATGGCACGTCAAGGGCTGTAGGCAATCATGGCCCGTGAAACCCGGCCTCAGTCGGCCATCAAAACGCCACCACGGATGACGAACAGAGATCGGTCGTCAGACAGATGAAGAGGAGGTCAATATGATGCTTTTTTCAGCAGAGAAACAACATGTGCTTCACTGGATCGTCATCTCATCATGCCTGCTGGCCAAATGATAAGTAGTTCCTACGGTTCTCAAGTTCTCAAAGTTCTCGACATCAGTTCAGCGTTTACAGCGACACTCCCCTCCGAGTGCCTACCCGACAAGTCGGATAAAGTCTTTTAGCTTTGGGCGGGCTTGGTGACGTTCTGGGAACAAATATTACAAAACCTTTCTAGGGATGGCTTGTGGATATTTCTGAATCATAACCACGTCCCAAAACGATCACACGGCATGTTTTTGTGATTTTCAAGTAGCCTCCATTTCTCCAATGTCGGGAAAAAAAAAAAAACACGCCCCACCCAACATCGATGTTCACTGTCTCCCACCGACTGAGATCTGCCACGTGGTGCATTGGCAGTAGAGCCCATCCACACAAGTTCCGTGCCCCGCGCACCTCGGTGCGAGGTAACCCCCATTCGACCGCCGTCGGGGTCAACACTCGACGCTTCGTACCCAATTTCTGGAGCAAATCAGCAGCTATCCCGGCCAATCCACCTGATGCGACTTGGAAACGACTGTGAAGCAATTTTGCCATCTACTTGAGGAATCTTGACTGTCTAGCTGAGTGTCACAAGGATCGTGACCATTGTTCAGCTCACCTTCCTGCTTCTGAAAACACACACCCATGCTGCGTTGCATCTAGCAGAACTGTGAGGGCCCCAGGTGGTTGTCTCAACACAGAAATGCCCAGTGACAGATTCGTGGCAGTCTTCGGCCCGCAAGACTGATGGTGCATTGCTACTGGCTAGGAACTACTGTTCGTGGGTATAGTAATGCCCAGTCAAGTGGGCATTACTACGCCAATGGGAACGACGTTCGGAACCGTGGAGACACGGGGATTCCACACCATGGATCCACGAGCTCATACTCATCGTCGCCAATGAAGAAAGACTGGAGTGTTCTCTTTGGTGAAGTCTATCTTCTCCATGTTGAACGTAAAATCGGTTCAGGCACAAGCAAAGGAAGCACAGACCATGTCTTGGCTCGGGTGCTTTTCTCCCAAACTTCGCAGCACACAAGATTGGTTTAGCCGCTCATCCAAAAGCTTCTGTGCAGAAGCCACAGAAGCTTTTGATCCCTCCTCTTCCAGGAAGGCACGGGGACGACACAGTCCGTAAAGGTTTCTTCTTAGACCGTCACTGACCGTCACACGTTGCTTTGGATCAGTTCTTCACCTCTGTCCAAACAGCCGACCCCGACTGACACAGAAACGCTGCGCATGTCCAGTGTGATTCTTTGCGGAACCACATGGAAGCTTCTCCAAGTCCCCTCCAAAATCACAACCATATGATTGCTATTTTGGGGGTAAGTGGACTTACTGGGCTTGTTTCATGAGTGCAGCCGAAAACCAGGTCCGTCTTTTCATCGAATTCTCCATCATTCATCGAACTCTCTCTGTGTATCCGAGACTTCAGAGCTTCCGACCTCCAGTGCCACCTATCATCGCCTATCTATGTCTCTACTCAAATAGGATTCAGGGGGGCCTTCTTCAGTGTGGAGACACCCAAACGATTCATCCAAGACGAGTCCAAACAGCATCGAGTCCAGTCGACCAGTCCAAGGCCGTAGGTCACGACCGATCTTTTTCCGCCCCAGGTCAAGACCACATCCGAGGAGAGTGTGTGTGTGTGTGAGCCTTGGTTTAGCTTGACCAGACTTTATTGAGAAGCCTGCATTTTGCCACCTGGTTCAAGACTTCTATCTTGTTCTTGCTGGAATTGATGCTTGAAGACTGGAAATTCGATGACTGGTTTGAAATGCGCACCTGGGTTGCACAATCGTTGCTGTGAGAAAAGCAACATAGCTTCGGACCTGCAAGCTGCAAACCCGTGGAACTTCGAGGGTCTGTATTATCATTGCCGAGTCTGCACATAGTCATTAACTGTTCATGGCTTCTTCAGCGCCGCCGCACTCGTGACGGTCGAGGGCGGCGAAAACGACGTGTTCGCCGACTCGACTGAGGGGGGCACTGCTCGGGACAGGGCTCGAGGGTGTCCAGCACCGACACATCGTTGAAGCACTCTGAGGAGACCTCGGTAGCCGGACTGGCTCGAAGAGGCAGCCCCCGGCATCCTCAGCCCCTGCCAAGTAAGTCTTTTGGCACTTTTGGGGATTAGAGTCCTGGTAGAGAGTGGAAGCATGCGGAAACTGGGATCCACTTAGGGAATGGTTTGCCATGCATACTCATCATCTGTTTCTCCACCGATACACCGCCTCCCAGTCCCAAAGAGTCTCGCTGAATGCATGTTTTACGTCCCACATCACGGATCACTGGCCTATTACTAATCTAACACTCCCAGAGCTAGCAGCCTGGGCAAACCACGCCTGGCAGCCACCGAACACGAACATGTGGCCACCCACGAAGGTAGCACTGTGTCCTGCATGCCAACATCAGCTAGATCTCCACATTGACATCCCTGCCTTCTTTTTGAATTCCCAAATCGATACCCAACCCAATCCCCTGAAAAATCAGAGAATTCAAAGCCTTTGCGACGTTCTTGTCCAACCTTTTTCAAGGAACCCTGCCATCGTTTGTGGCCCCGGGACCGGGTCGTGATGGGTCGTGTGACCGGACCGGACCGGAAGAAGGACACCGGCCTTCTCGTTCTCGCCAGGGCATAGGGGACGAAGACCTGCAAAAATCCACAAAGAAAAGGAGTAGAAGCTCCGTGTTGTTCCAATGATGCCCCAACCTTGGATGGAATAAAAAGGATCGGTGCTAACTACCATATACTGTAGCTATTGGTGTCTCCTTCTATCTCTTCGACGCAACGCAATTCGGATCGCAAACACGGTTGTGAGGTTGCCGTCTCTGCGTCCAGCGCAAGGCCATAGGATCAAAGCTCCAGACATCACTGAAGCAGACCTCGTCCAGCCCATGTTGCGCAAAAACGAAAAAAGAAGTCACACTGGGCTGCCCTCAGTGGCGATTAAAAAATCAACAGAATCAACCATGCAAACTGCAGAAACCATGGCTTTTGGCTCTGAGGCCAAGCCAGCAACCGAGCATCGAGCACTGCCACTGCAACCCCCAGCCACCACCAACTGGTGTCCGTGCCGCGCTGCACTGTGCGCCTGCAACCACTAGACTCTAGACACTGCAATCGAAGCATTGGAACACATATCGATTTCTCATGACTTCTCAAACCTCGACATCATGACACTGGTGTGTGTGTGTGTGTGTCACACCCTGCTTCTAAGGGTCACCGACAGGTTTCTTTTTCGCTGATTTCGTAGAGCCCTACCTAATTTTGATTCAATTGCACTATCCCTCAGCAGGGGGCCAGGACTCCCTGGTGCGCGTCCTGGCCAACGAAGACCAGCACCAGGGAGGTGCAAACGCACCTTTGTTTTTCGCCATAACTGTCCACTCACTGTCCCCACCCTTCACTTCGATCAAATAACAATCATGCAGTTGCAAACGCACCTGCTTTAGTTAAACTGTTGGTTGGTTGCTGTGGTCCCCTGGTTTGCTTCATGGTAGTTCATGTACCTGATTGTGTTCCACACTAACTTTCAAAGTTCGATATCTCGTTTCACCCTTGGATGTGATGCTAAGTAGAGCCTACTGGTGTCATGCGTTGTCTTGCAGTAACGGTCTAGTGGACTGTGAAACTAAGTATGGCCAAAGCTGTCTAATCCGTTGCTTCCTGGAGTAAAGGGTTAACGCAGGAAAGTGCTAATGCATCCGTTCTAATTGAACGCTCGTGCAATTGAGTTTTACATCTAAGTGTGTTTTCGTGGCGTCGTCCCACTGCGGTGTGCTGTGTGATCCCTAGGGGCGCATATTTCACTCGTTTGCCAGAAGGTCAAACTAACTGACGCAGTGCTGCCGGGTCCACGGAATCGAACCACTGATTTGCATCGACCCTTCAATATGCACAGTCTCTTAAAGTTTTTCAGACTGCTGCTTTCCTCTTTTGTTCGTTGCTAGAGGCTTGTTAGGTTGTAAGTGAAGCTTTAGTCAGGGGTGCGCCGGACATACTCGGCTTTCTGGCCTAGTGCCTTGCCCGCCAGGCCGCCAGGGTTTCCTTTCCTTTGTTAGGTCTTCCTCTCGAGGCTTGTTAGGTTACTTTTGAGGCTCGTTTAGTCGACCACCCCACACGGCCCCACACACTTATTGACACGCATACTGACTTGAATGCCGCTCGCCACACGGCAACCTAAGAAACCAGATTCCTGAGAGGAACATCGAAACCTTGGATCCTCAAGGTCCTCAGACGAAATTGAGGCCCGAAGCTCAAGTCAGATGCGACGATCACAGGTCGACCAAGATGACAGATGACGACGTACTCTCATGTCTACCAAGCTCGTTAGCACTTTGCAAAAGATAAGAGTGACAGCTTGTAAACACCACAACTAAACAGGTACGTGATCCCAGCGTCCCAGGATCATATCGGCCATGGAATGCAGCCCAACTGCATCCATGGGGTTGTCCCAGAACTTAAGCAAAACCAATCCGCGAGGATCCCTGTGACTCCAAGGGGTACACACACGCCTCCCCGAATGTGCAAATGCGTGCTCAGCACGACAAGAGTGAAGACATGAAAAGGGGACAAGCGCGACAAAGCTGTATGTGGTTGCGATGAAAGGGAACCAAGTGCACATGGACAACCGATGAAAACCCACCTCATTGTAAAGACCTGGGCGACCTGAAACCTGGGTTGAAGTAGGTTGCGCGCGGACATACTAAGGGACGGGCCGTGTGTGCACAAAAAAAGGAAAGAGATGAGATGACAGAACATGAAGGCAGGAAGACATGAAAGAAAAGAGGAAAACAGACGCGTGTGTGAAGGGGAAAGGATGAAAAGGGAACCAAATGGAGGGGACGAGAACCGATGAAGCCAAACCTCATTAAACATACCTAGGTAGACCTCGCCTCGTTTGAATGTGAACGCTGTGAGTGCACCTAAGAGTGTGACAGGTTCCAGTGAGCCTTGAACAAGCTTTGGTCGCTGCGACCACCTCGTGGCATGAAGCCTACTTTGGTCCGCTGCGGACACGTCCAGCATGCTCGAAAGCGGCCTCCTTGGAATTCAACAACTCGCCAGGTCTTGGCAAATAACTTTGGCTTAAGCCTCCTGCTGTCCGCTGCGGACATCCAGCGACAAACCCCCGTTCAACGGGTCCACAGGGGCCACTCGTCGGGGCTCTCACTGAGGAGAGACACACTTATTGACATGCGTGCTGAATTGAATGCCGCTTGCCACACGGCAACATAAGAAACCATATTCTTGAGAGGAACATCGAAACCTTGGATCGCGGAGGTCTTTAAACGAAATTGAGGCCCAAAGCTCAAGTCAGATGCAACGATCACGGGTCGACCAAGATGACGACGTACGCTCATGTCTGCCAAGCTCGTCAGCACTTTGCAAAAGATAAGAGTCTTGTAAACACCACAACTAAGCAGGTACGTGATCCCAGCGTCCCAGGATCATATCAGCCATGGAACGCGGCCCTCTTCATTGGACAACCAACTGCATCCATCGGGTTGTCCCCCTGCTATTCCAGAACTTGACCAAAACCTATCCGTGAGGCTCCAAGGGGTACACACACACCTTTCTCACCCTTTTTTCGTTTTTAGGTGTGGACTAAAGTGGTAATGCAGTAACTAGATCGGCTGTGAGCTGTCTAACCCGTTGCTTCCTGCAGTACAGGGCTAATGCAGGAAAGTGCCAATGCGTCGGTGATTCAGTGTCTGACTGAACGCTCGTGCAAATGAGCTTTAGATCCAAGTCCAAGCGTTTCACTTGGGAGACACACATCCAACCAATGGGCTTTTGCCCTTTGCAGTTTCATGCAGTCGACGACATGCAATGATCATCCTCAGCATAGCATAAGACGAGCGCACGTGCACACGACAAGCTCAGTGCGGAAGCAGCATGGAGCTTTCAAATTCAAGGCGGAGCGACGTCCCGATGAACTGCGTTGGCTTCAATCATTGATGGGCCTCCAGTCCATAGGCCCTAGACAACCCACATGCTGACCATGCCATTTCTCTATGGTCCAGTTTACAGTCAGAACTTCCTTCCAATGCAAGATTCATGCCATGCACCTTGGCTTTGGATAACCACTCTTCAAAATCGCTTTGGCTCCTGAGATCTGAAACGCTCTCCACTGCCACAAAATGGACAGCATTTACCAGCCGAGGTAAGTATATCGAGGCAGCGTGCCCTCTTTACACCCAAGTCCCTTCCGGCCAGCAGCACCGGACCACCGTGGACATGGTGGGCCCGCGCACGCACCAATCACATTCAACAGGCCTAGGGCCATCCGTAGGAGCCCCTCACTTGAAACAGCAAGGCTTGCCTCAAGAGGTCACATGGTTTGAGAACCGAGAGATTTAACGTATCACCATGGAATCATACTAAACCATGGTGGGAAATCCTAATTTGTGCAAGGCTTCAGCAAAGAGTTCGAAAAGCTTGGGTTCATCCCTGACATGCTAGGGTAAATGCAGACTCTAGTGATCTAGCGAGCCCAACTTCGCAATTGAAGCTGCGAAATCTGGCTTCGAACCAATCGACAACACTTGAAGCTCTCAATCGTCACATGTTGGCCACATTGGAAATGCTGATGCCATTCCGGGGAGCAATCAAAGTGGCTCGAGCCAGCTTTCCTCGTATTCACGACGCCATTGCGCGTGCAATCGATGATACCGTCGTCACCACCTGGGCAGCGCAGGCTTGAACATCAGACGCTCTTGCCCTTCATCAGATCCTCGTGCTCTCGAGGAAAGGACATCCTCCAAGAGCTCACGCGTGTTCACCGCCTTCAGGCCAGGCTCGGCACAGCTGAAACAGCACCCCGCAAGAGAGCTTGAAAGAAGTCTGTCTTTGTTGAGCGCCGGAGGAGCACTCTGAGAATGGCGCCAGGAGAAGCCCAGGTGTCAGCAAGGAAACAAAGAGCCGAAAAGAGCTTGAGCCAAAATGGCTGCGGAGAACTGGGAGGTCTCCCTATTTAATACACACCCATATGATCCCATATCATATGGATGAACACCACATCATGCAGGATTTGCTCCAATCTCCCAAAAGCATCCCAACACCGAACGTGTCTTCTCACACCTGTCGTGGGCTTGGGCCGGCTCCAGAAACAGCGACCTGCTTCCACGTCTGCTTGGAGATGTCGTACCTCCCGTAGAGTCGAAAATGGTCCAAGAGGCGATGAGTTTCTCCAACTCCAAGTGCCGCTACAGTACCGCTACCCCGACTGACGTCTTTTCTTTGGAAGTGATGTTATGAGGGGTCAAACAGGTTTGAGAGAAGCAAAGGAGTACAGGTTCCGCCAGTTTCAACTGCTCCTTTCCGGCGTTCCAGGCATGAACATCAACCCCGCGGTTCCCGCCGCACATGTGCAAGTCATTGGTCTCGGTTCCCGCCGCGGTGTAGCCACCGAAAAGAAGGAGCTGCCTCAGTCCGGTTTGACCAATGAAGAAGTAGGAAACCCCACGATAAACAGTATCTGAGTCTTCAAGAGCCACCAGCCACCTTGTCGGAGACCTGTTGGAGGGTGCCTATGTTTTTTAACCCAGACGCGACCATGGACCCTGCTAAGTAGGGGCCAGGGGTCCGGACCCGAACCAATCCCGGTTTTGAGGGACCGGTCGGCCTGTTTGGAGCATCTGGGTCATCGTTTTTTGCTTTGCGAAACACGAAACGTCACGAAGCTCTCTACTCCTTCGGTCCGACCTGGTCGAGGCCACAGGTCCGACATGCTGCAGCTCTCCAAAAAACAGGGCGACCGCGGCTACCCAGCCTTGGTGATCCTTCACCCATCCACAAAGGTGTCGGTTCTCAGGTGCTTTTCCGGATGTTCTCTGGGTTTGGGGGATGGATCTCCAGAGTAGTCACAGACGTGTCGATGCCAACGGTCCATCCTCCCCGAGCGGCTCGTCCAGGAGGGTGAGAGAATGACCTTCTCGAGGTTCGGGCACCTGAACAATCGCATGAAGCAGACATCGTCGACCACATGACTTGGCCGCGAAGCCTTGAGACTTGGAACTGGGGCTAAAAAAAAGCCGTGGTGGTGGTTTCGACCATTCCCCTCTACAACCAGTGGTTTGGGGGGTGAAAAAATGTGGTCCTCTTCAGGAGGGTATGGGTTCTTCATGGTGCCTGTGTGGTTCAATCGCTTCCAAATCCCCTGCATTCTCCACCCTTCAGTGTTCTTTTGCCAACGATCTCCCACATCCGATGTGCGCCCGCATCGCCCTCCACTGGGAATGGTGGATGTGTCCTCAACAATGGTGGATGCCCCCAAAAGTGACTCACGTGACTCCTAAAGGATCAGGGAATTGATCCTAAGGCATCTCTTGTGTGGAGTCATTCAGAACTGATTCCCTACTAAGCAGCCAGGAAAAAAGAGCAGCAGCCATTGGGGTGTCTATCCTTTTGGGTGTCAAAACCCCCAGTTATGCCGTTGGCATTTTGCGTTGTTGAGTTCACATGAGCACAAGGGACAGGACCATCTCAACAGGGTCGATGCTTCACCAATTCCTCCGTTCGCTCAGCACTTTGCTCCGTTCGTTCACGCCAATTCTGGGGCATTGATTCAACTGCTTGTTATTTCTTTGTACACACTGCCAGCTGGTCGTTTGCTTGTATCTGCAGGTGAGAAAAACCAGATGTCCAGTGCTTTGCCAGTGCTCTTTGCCAGTGCTCTTTGCCAGTGCTCTGCTCGAGATTCTGCAGAGACCCGCATTTTCTGCGCACATGGAACTTGGGCCCCATTTTCTGCCCTTTCCAAGAAGGCGAGGCATCCTTAAGATGCTTGGGCCTTCCAAACGACACAGCGACCAGCTGGCAGAAGCAGCTGAAGTCTACAAATCCTAGAGGCCCAAAGAAGAGAGGCGCATCGTGATAGGAAGACTTCCCTCACTGCCATCGGTGGTCGCAATGGTTTGCCATGACTCCATGTAGGCGTCAAAGTCCAACTTCCTGCGAGCTTGACCGGACCGTTGAGTTTGCAGAAAAGGACCCGCTGGAGCGGACGAAGACTTGAAGACCATGGCGGTATCTATGTTCAGAAGCTACCAAGAGAGGTTTTTGGAGACCTCGGGACCCGAACTCGTGCTACACAGGGGATAGGCAAAGGGGCTACTCAACTCTTGCACGGCCTTGTGACCCCCACCTCCGAGCATCTCTCCCCCACCGGTCGGCTCCGTCCCGGTCTGCGTCCCGTCCGCTCTTCCGGGGCCGCGCCGCACGCGGCGGCTCCTGCTCCAATCCAGTAGCATGTCTTCCTCCATGTCCATCTCATTCAGTTCCCTGGCACCACTCGAAGAGACAAAAGCAATCGAAGAGATCCTTCGGTTTCCCGGTGCGCGCCCACGGCGGAACCGCCCACGGCCAACTTCCGCCAACGCCCAAAACCTCCAGGTTTTGGGGGTTTCACCACCACCATGGCCACACTTCCCTCCTTCCGCCGCCTTGGCGAGAACTCCTGTGGAGAAACGGTTTCATCCTCCAACTGGTAGTCCTCCACTGCCACCGATTGAAGAGCTAAGAGCTTTTCAGCGACCCTTATGTCTTTACGACCAAACAATGCCCCTAGGCCCTATGGTAGAGATCCATGAATGCCACCCCAGCATCCATGTTATTGTTCCAGTCATGTATGGAAAGAATGTCACATTCAACAGAAGACCTCTCTGCCCCGCATCACAAAGCGTGAAGAATTTGTCCATTTCACTAGAGAGTTTTTAAGTTGCATGCTTGCAGTTTCTGCCATTGACAAAAACCATGGAAACAGGTACAGTATTCTCAACTGTATCACGGGCATACAGTGACAATTTAGCATGCAGCTGGCGGAGTTGCCAACAATTCCTTGCAGAACAGGTGAATTGCGAGCTGCCTCTTGGACAAAATGAAAAGCCAGATTCGACGTCTTATGGCGACAAGTTTCCGTACAAATCTTGCAAGAACAAACAAGCAATTAGCGCACTCCTTTCTCCAAAAGCCCTCCTTCTCTACTCACCAAACCGTCTTTCAACGCCTGAAACACAGGTCGGGTTGGACCGACCGACGCACGGTCCGGCACAGGTCGCTCGGTCCGGGGGGTCCGAGTTTCTCTCCTCTTGGATATCTTCTTTGAAGCCATAGAGCTTCTGGAACCATTCGATCTTTCGTTGCCGGCGCTTCAGTTCTATCTCCTTCCGCCGAGGCGGGGGGTGTGGGCGTGGTCCGGGGCCGGGTCGGGTCGGGAACCATTCGGTGAAGCACCGGCGCGAGAGAGCTGAAACGATTCCAAAAGAAGAAGTACCCCCGGCATCTTGATGGCCTGAGAAATCTTACGGCCATCTACAACAGGCTGGGCACTAGAAACTGAGAGGAATTTCATACTCAGTCAGATTTTGGAGAAGGAACTCTTGATCACATGTTCCCTGGAAGTCCAAGTCTGTTTCAAAAAGAGTGGTCTTTACATAGGTGATCCGAAAAAAAAGGAATGCCCTTTGACTTTGGTGGTGTGGAAAAACCCTCATTAAACTTCCCACAGCTCTTAGCATCTTTAATCTGCTCAAAAGCACCGTGACGACGCGCTCCGGAGAGAGACCCATCCGCCCCGCCCCGGCACCTCTCCCGTCCGGTGCGGCGTCCGCCCGAGTGCTCCAACGTGTGTCCTGCCGTCGGCGGAGCTTGGAGTAGTGGAAGTTCTGCGCCCGGCGCCCCGTGAACTTCTCCACGTCCTGCCGGTGCGGATGCCCGCCGGGCGGAGGCCGGGAGCGGTGCACGGAGGTGGTCATTGGGCTGTTCGGGGCCAGCAGGATCTGGCTGACCTCATCTACTTGGCTGCAGTGCTCCTGAAATGGGGGGCATCTTAATGTGTGTCTATTTTTGGGATGTCCCCCCTTCCAATTCGCACACCTGGAGAAGCCAGGAGATCACCCGGATGCATTCTGCAGCATGCTGAACAGAATGTCCAAGGCACCCCTTCAAGTCGATGACCTCAGAAAACTGGGTCATTGTAATATGACTTACAAATCAGGATCTTTAATTACCTTACGATGATCTTGAATTACTTGAGGGATTTCCAGGATTCCAGGGTTTTCATGACCCAGCCACTCAATGGGAAGCATGCTGACCTGGTTCCTATATGTACATGATTTCTTGAAACATGTGAAAACGGCAGATACAAACCACATTTCAGCTGTTACCATCAGCTTTAGTGGCATTTCCTTGGCAAAAGTCAGGGAATGAGACGCCCATTCAGGGCTATGGTTTGACTATATGGGCTCTGGTCGTGATGTCCGATCGTCTCGTTCCACTCGATCGAGACGAGCATCACCTCGTTCAACTGAATGGTCAGACTTGCAGGGTACCATTTCGAAGACTTTCTGGACCCCTCACCCCACTAGCACCTGCTCGTCACCCCACCAGCACCTGCTATCTCAAAGAGGGTTCACTCCATGCGAGCTCTAGTCCGATCCCCTTCTGGTCCACCCCCACCCAGCGCCCCGTCCGCTCGCCTTGTCGACCAGCCCCTCCGAGGCAAACCGCACCGCCAGCGGGCGCCAACCATTGTTTTCCACCCGGCGGTACCAACCAAGGTCCCCTGGGCAGCACCGAATGCCGAGCAGAACGGAGGCCGAGGTTCGGCTGGGCAGGACACAGGGAGCGTGAAAATGCCTGGTGTGGGGGGCTTGTTTGGCGTGCTAGAGCATTCATCACGCAGGCCACGTGTTGTCCGATCCCCCAAAAAAGGAATCCGAGGCCTTTTGGATGAAAAACCAAGCTGATGCAGAGGCACCTGGAAATCAGAAGAAAAAAAAGAAAGGGTAGATGCCCACATGATCGACCTTCGATGTGGGTGCAGAATCCCACCCCCGCCTGGCAAAGCAAGACCTTGTTCTTGGCTCATGCGTTCCAGGTGATACTCTCGCGGAGCGAAGGAGCCCAGGTCCACCACGTTGCCATGGGTGTAGATCTTGTAGAAGATGCTTGATGGGAATCTGGCCATCAGCAATCTCATAACAAAGAAATGCTGGTAAAAATACGATAGACCACCAATGCAAGGATTTTTGGATTCGATTTACTCTTTTTGGCCATGAAGGTGGGACCCACGCAGGTTCTTGAAACTGATGATCACACCCCCAGCCGATCCTCATGTGGCGACCCCACCACGCCTGTCAACTGCTGACCCTAGCACTCAGCACTTGCCCGGGTCCAGTGTGTGTTTGTTATTCACTTAACCATCGATCTCGACTCGGCACTGGCTTCCGCCGCGCCTGGGACCCCCAAGGCGGAAGCGCACGTGCACCTGCATGGCCGGATCCAGCAGCACCGCCTCCCGCGGCAGCACCGCGCGCAGCAGCAAGTAGGGATCCCCCGAGCGGCGGAACCTCAAAGCGGTCGGAGGTCGAACGGGGGTCGTTGGTCGGATGAGCCATGTTCAGTTGGAGCGATGTGTTCATGTCCCAATAGGTCATTGTCATGTCAATGAAAGCAAACATGAACCACATCGAGAACATGTCGACAATCAGGCTGAGAAGCATGGCGATCGTTTCCTGAAGCGTTTCAAAGACACCTCTGTCCTTGTAGCTTCTCCACTTGTGCTGAATCTTCCGAGCAGCCTGCGAAAAGCAATGCACCGAAGAAACAAGCACATATCGAGCCCGAGTTCGAAGGCAATGCTGCGTACTGGCCCAGAACCCAGGACCCGACGTACGACTCGATGCAAGTCATGGAGGGAGCAACCCTGCTCAGTGACTAGCTCTAATGACAAAGGTCCTGTTGTCACTATGCCGTTTTGGGGTGAGGTGGACATCTGAATTATCATACCAGAAGCAGAAGTCTTCATCTTCCCAATCTCCCCTGGCACGGGGCATCGGGGTAAGCTCCACGGGAACTCCTACGCACGCTCCTACGGACCTCAGCAAGCATCTTGGCATAGTGCACCAGCTGCTCCTGCTCCGTCCAGCTGCTTTGATCCAAACTCCTGACACGTTTGGATTGTGATTCCTAAGAACCACAAACCACCATAAATCCATGAGTGGCATGGCTTTGCAATTCCTGAAGTCCTTCCTTAGTTTGATGTTTCCAACACTTCCCCTTCGCCATTTTCTCAGCTCTACCAGCACTAACCAAATAAAAGAACACCGCTACAAGACTGGCCCCAAATTGACCATGTCCAACAAATGCATAATGCATAAGTGTTCCAAGACTCCTCCGTTCTGATCCCCCCTCTCGGCTCCCAACTCAATCCAACCCTCCCACCGACCCGAAACCAAAACCGTCCGTCTGCCGGTGCCTCGACCGGAGACGGTGCTCGTAGAGCTGCCACGCTTGTTGGATTTCGAAGGCCGCCACCTGCCCCACCGGAGCGGAAGGGAGCGGAGGTCACGACCGGAGCTCGTGGAGGTGAAGGACTGGAGGAACAGCTACGTTCGTAGCTTTCTTGTTGCTAAGTAGGAATGGCCTCCAACCTAGCTTCTAGCTAAAAAACATCCGGAATCCGCACCGACATGCGGAAGCGTTGCGTAATGATTTCATGCATGACATGCCAAGATCTACTGACTCCTGTGGAACGGCTGACTCCTGTGGAACGGCTGAAGCGGTTGATTTCCTTTTCACAGATGTATTCAGATAGGTCGTATGACCCGGCCTGATAGAGTTTTCGACCCATGTAGCTTTGCACCCGGCGAACTCTCCACACGTGGACTTTCGACCTTGGCACTACCCGCAAAATGAGTCCAGAATCCATACATGAGGATTCCGCAGCAAAAGAGAGGTCGAGGCCATACACTGATACTCCCCCATACCAAAAGCTGGAACGACGGGGGGCAACGCCCGTTGATGAAGGACATTTCGCCACTGGGAATCTGTTCTATTGGATCCACCGGGCATCCCCTTCTCTTCGCCAATGCGTCGCCATCGCCTTCGCCGCGCAGTCGCTCGCCCTTGTTGCCAAGAAACTGCCACCAACCTTGAATCAGGGCCAGGCAGAAGGACTCGAAGCTTTCATAAACTGGATAGTTTGCATCCTGCAAACTGGAAGGCCAGTTTGACTCTTGCTGGCGAAAGGAAAAGGTGTTGGTTGGTGACCTCAGAATTGGTTCTCAAATCGTCTTGCTTAGAAAACAACTGTCTGGGCCCCAACTTTACATTGCGTTCAACTCAGGCTATCTGGGGCTGCCTGGTGTGCCAAGTGTTGCACTAGCGGACTGATATGATTGTTCTCTCCTGAAAAAGAAAAGGTACAGTAACAAGTAATAGAAAAGTATGGAGCCGGTCTTGACTTGCTCAATCCTTTTTCTCCGGACAGATTCGTGGCTTGTGCCGTCTGATCGGATACTGCCGTCGGGTTTCAGGCAGCCCAAAACATGACCATGGTCTCCAGTGTGGTGACGGAATAGACAGGTTCAGCCATGGAACACTGGTGACATGAGGACCACATGGAACCCCCTGCCACTGTCGGGTTGGTCGATTCGGAAGACGGTCGAAACCACAGTGAATGTCTCAGGGTCCATGGTGGGGATCGTCGTCCGGTTACTGCGCGAGGGAAGGGTTCTCTTCTCTTCTGGTTACGGTTTACAAGCTCTCTCTTCTAGTGGTCTGGTTTCTCTAGTGTGGTCTTGATCTTGAGTTACGGAGTTTCGCTCTCTTGATCTACTTTTCCTTTGCCAAAGTGATTCCGTCAGACGGAAGAGGTCTTGATCTACTTTTCCTTGGCCGTTGAACTCCGACAACTCCGCCAACTCACGCCACGTCAAAAAGGGCTACGATATATGGGTCTTCTGATTTTTCATGGTCCTATCAATGTGGCAGAGCCGGGACTGCAAATAGAATGGACAACTTCTGAAACAGGGACCTAATTGAAGACACTAGTACAAACTAAGTAACTTCGTACCCTATTTTCCAATCCAACCACCCAAATCATCTTCACCCCCAGTGGCCCCCCCTTCTCCTGCGCTTGGTCGCGAGGCAGCACCATGCGACGCCTGCAAAAGACTGTCACGGTCCGACGTATCGCTGAGATGGTTGACAGTCCACCACTTGAAACTGTCCAAGATGCCAGGAACCCCACCAGGATCATGTCCTGATTTGGAGTTGGCCCCAAATATCATTGGATGACTAGGGGTCAAACCTACCCATCACCGACCCTTCCAAAGGTCATTCACCAAATGACCGTTTTAGGGTTCCAGGCTTTTTACTCCCGCCCGCCGCATCGCCCATCGCCTCAGGTGCTCGATGTGTCGCAGTCGCAGCGCCGCGTGCGCCACGTGCAGCTTGCGCGGCGCCGGGGTGACTGGAGGCGTGACTGGTAAGCCTGGCAGGTTGAGGGTGAAGTGCTTGGCAGGTTGTCCCAACATCTAAACACAGGGGTCTTCTGTGTCTAGGTGCTGGTGATCAAAGTCGAAGACTGACTGGTTTTCTCGGGCGACGATGCGGGTTCTGCGGGTTCCGCACCAAGTCCCGGAAGCAAGGAACGCGATGGATTCATTCCCAATTGGCAAACAACGGTTGGGCACAAAGGAGGGTTCAGAGGTGTACTACCCAGAGGTTCATCCTTTGTTGTGAAGCACTGGATCACAGTAATGCTGATAATGTGGGAGAATGGAATTGCATTATTTGCATCATGTGTTGCATGAGCATCATTTGGAGTCGCGCGCCTTCTTCTTCTGCGCCAATGGCCGAGGGCTTTGTGCGCTGCAGCCAATTCGTTCGCCAGGCGCGTTGTAGCCGTCGGGCAGCCAAGTGCATAGCAATCACTGGTAACAGCCATGGCCTCAAAAGTGTGTGCTGAAATTGGGAGACCCCCCAATTCAACCCTCTGGAAGAAGGGAAATAGACTCATACACCAGTCTACTCAGCGGTTGGAGAACTCCTCATTAAAATACACCGGCCTGACCCAGACATGGCTGTCATCCCCCGAACTCCGACGGCACACCGGAGTAGATCTCTGGACCTCATCCACCGTCGGTCCCCGCTGGAGCCACGCGCCTTTGCACGAGTCGGCGATGCCAGCGCTGCGGCTTCGACGCCAAGAACTCTTCGAAGCGGCGGTCCATGGCGCGAGGGGCGTCTGAGGGGGCGGAGATCACTCCAGCTACGACCTTCTACCATGGTGCCATGAACCATGTCATGTTGGTTTCTTTCTTTCAGGTGGGCGGAGCTTGGAGCGAAAGGACGGATTTGCCATGCCCGACTCCTTCAAACATGCCAATGAGTACATGGACAAACAGGACCGTCGCAACTACATGTCCTATGATCCTATGCTTCAGGATCGGTGGATCGAATGTCCATGTTAGCCTGCCATCTTCTAACCTGAGAAATGTCCATGTCCTTCTGCGAACGTGGCACGTTTTGTTCGCCGGCGAACGTGGAAAAAACAACTGCTGCAGGTACTGCCTTGTGGCACCACTTCGCACGGTGCTTTTCTCACAGTGTTGATTGCCCCGTGTGTTGAAGCGAGAAACATCCAGGCAAAGGTTTGTCCCACCAAAATGTGCACCCCCTCTGGCACCTCTCCGACAGGCACCTGGAGCGCAAACAAGACAGCACAGCGGCCGTCCATCCCGAAGCAGGGCATCCAAATGCAAAGTCAACCACGTGGAGACACTCTCTGTATCCCAGTTGTTGGAAGAGTGCTTCTTTGTTACTATCATCTTCTGATTCCCACTGTGATAAAAAGCTGAACGAATTGTTGAAACAAATGGCAATCCTAGTGTAGACCAGCACACGCAAATCCAACTGTATATAGAACATGGCCCACGCATTCTCAAAGCACTGGCGAGGAATGCCAGGCCAGAACAAAGTCTAAAAGCCACACTCTAAACCAGACCAACATCTCATGCCACCTCGCGCTACAGCGGCTACAGTCGACTGAACCACCTGAGCCTCCTTTGGACCCAAAACAAAAACCGGAGGTCCTCGGCGGCGCACTCGGCTCCCCAGCGGGTCTCGACCAGGCCAGCGCCGCCGTTTCAAGCACATCGGGCGCATCCTGGCGGCGACCGGAGCACCAGGGCCGTGTGTGTGTGTGTGCCCCTTGTAGTCACAGGGATTCTTTTGAATTGTTTTAATCAGCAGGGGGTGCAAGCAGCCCATCCAGTCTTGCACCAACGAAGACACTGGATGTGTGCTGGTGAAATCAATCCGGGACGCCGGCTTGACGTACCTGCTTGGAGAGAAACCTACTTAATGGACAAGCTGTTCCAGTTCTGTGTTTTGCAGTAAGCGGCTAATGCAGCGGTGATGAACTTGGCTTTTCTGCACGCACGTCGTCACCTTGTCGTTCGCTCGATCGGTGTTTTCTTTTGGAGTTGCTGGCCACCTGAAACCTTCGGGGCCTCCGCTGGATGGACCTCCACTTCCTTTTCTAGGTTTCCTTACCTGTACCCTTAGGAAATGGAACCCTAGGCCGGCGTGTGGCACCGCTATCAGTTCCGTATGCATATCCATAAGTGTGTGTGTGTGTGTGTGGGTGGGAGAGCTTTCTTTTTGGGGCGGAAGGGCTACAGGGCCCGTTGCTTGGAGTGAACTCACTGCTTGGCGCCTCACTTTTCGTTTTTGTTAGCCAACCTGGAGAGAGCACTCAGCTAGCTGGACACCGATGGACACCCCGTCAAAAGCCAGCTAGACCGACGACCGGCGCTAACTGCTGCCTACCTAACCCCCATCACCAGCTAGACCTCTTTTTCCGCCATCACCCGTGAGGAACTCCCATCGTTGACCTCACCCGTCACACGACTCTTGGAGGCTCCACCGGGCTGAAGGGCGGCGACAAAGTCCTGGGCGAGCCCAGTCATCCAAGTCATCCGAGTCGCGGTGATGGGCAGCTGCGCATGTTTGGTCTGGTGACCTGGTGACCTCATCCCTCCAACAAATGAATGTCTGAGTAACTGTCCACCAAATGCTAAGTCACCCAGCTGCTTCCTCATCATGGCCTCCATCGGCCTCCGCCTCCGCCTCCGCCCTGTCCGACCACAGCAGAACCGACGAACCCACCGTCCCAGCCGACTCTGGCGCTCCCCGGGGCTCCCACGGACGGAGCACCCACAAGTCATTCAAGAAGTTGCCCTCGGCATCGTAGCCTCCAAAGAGGAAGAGGCGTCCTGGAAAGGGTGGGCGCTCCAGTTCGACTCCAGTTCGACTTGTGTTTGGAAGTGCATGTCTTTCTGCGTTCTGCGCTTTTTCGCCGCCCACGTGCCGCAAAAAAGCGAAGCTTAAAAACTCTCCGCGCCCGGTTTCAGCACCGGCGAGGGAGATGAAGCCGAGGTCAAAAGAAGAAAAAAGACGTGGGTTCGGGTATTCAAGGGCCACCATGGTGAAGCTGGAGGCCACATGGAGCTGAGACCATCGCCCTTCTTGGTCCCGGTTTTTGGTGGATGAGGGATCAGAAACACGACGAGCTGGCGAAGCTGGATGTGAACGTCGTGGAAGTGCTGAGGGGAGAAATGTCGGATTTGGGGAGCAATTTGTATAGTGTTTGGAGATGATCCTGGATTTTGTTGTGAGGAGGTCTCGTCTGTCAAGTAAACTGAGGGGCTTGCAAATGTGCTACAAGGATAGGAATCGTTTTTGGGATTGGTATTGTTTCTTTTTGGGAAGATGAACACGCCACACTCTTCTAAAGACTTGGGCGCTGACCCTGCGCGCTTGGCTCATTTTGGCTCATCTAGGATCATTATGTTCTGAGCCGAAGGAAGGCTGAAGTGTCAGGTCTAGTCAATCAGGTCTTGTGGTTCTAGGTCTCAAAGCTCTTCAGCTTGATGTCCTTTTTGCTTAAGTTCCCATCTTCCACTCTTGGAGTGTAGACTCTCACTGCATCCGGACGCCTACACCAAACACCCTGGGTTGGTCCGCAGCTCCTGCTGTGGTGGCCACAGCTGCATGGCTCGTGCGGTTGGACAGCTTCAAGCCAGCTGCGACGAAGCAACGCTGGGCTGCGACGATAGGCGACGAAGCAGGGCTGGGAGATGTTCAGTTCCCGCAATCGGAATGAGAAGCAACCATTGCAGAGGCAATTGGTGTTATGTAAGTGTGTCCAGTTTCTATGCTTCTTGGCCAATTGATGCATACATCAATTCCGCCCGCAAGTGACTTGATCCGTGTCCAACTTGCGTGTGGATCGGAAAAAACCTCACCGGTCTTGGATGAACAAGTGGAAGCGGGGACATGGCAACTGAAGCATACCGTGGTACCCAGTTTCTTCCCTGGAAAACCTCTGAAGAAAAAAAAAACGCATTTCCCAAACACACCACCGTCTCCTCGCGTCGCCCGGCTCGTTTTCGGCTTAAGCCGACCTGGCTGCTCCAGTTTCGTCCAACGCTTCCGCACCAAGTCTAAACGGTACACGTCTCCCAAGGTCGCCTGGCGTTGTTTAGGCGTCAGACATCTTTCGATAAACAGACAGGCGCGGGAGAGAAGCAGGAGAGTTCCAGGGGCGAGGAGACCAGAATTTTGGTGTTCTTCTGGGCCGAGACGCCAGCTCCAACTTCTTCAAGGTTAATCTTATTGCAGTTGGGTCAAGTCGACTTGAAATCTGGGACTTTTGGAGGATCAAAAGCCTTTTCAGCCCCGGCTCAACACAGCCTTCTCGTAACGAACCAACGCCCCAAAGGGAAACGTGTGAAAGCGCTCGCCAGTCGCGCACTTCGATCAGGGGCCCGAAGACGTCGGAGCGATCTGAAGTACTTTTCACTACTAAAAGTACTTTTCAAGGCATTTGTTTGCCTTCGAAAGCACCTTCAGTGCAATCTAGACTCCTCTGGCGATGGTGAAAACGAATCACGAATCACCTCAAGATGATGTGGGCGACTGCTGGGTTCCGTCAACAAGACATCAGTTCTTGTCCAAAATGACATCTTTCCCACAGCGAGTCGCAGGAAAAAGAGCCAAGGTGTGGGTTATGTTAGAATGAAAAAGGCCGCCGACTGGGCCAACATGTGCCTTGGGCCTGACATGTTCAACCCATTCCCTCAGCGGGCGGCCGAAAAGACCACACGCCTGACTGTTGGCTCCTCCGATCACGAAGATGTCACTTCCAACCTCCGTCGCAGCCGAGGAGAAAAAGCCGGCTTGGTTGAAACAGCAAGGGAAATCATGTTCATGACGAGCAGCTGCGCGAGCAGCTGCGGATTTTCATGGACGTCTGGCACATCGGACCCAGCTGGGATGTAGCTGTATGCCTCGATCAAGTTGCTGTCGGTGGGTTGCTGTAGGTTGAGAAAGCTTACAGTAAGTTTGCCCACATTCTCCAGGCTTGCGTTCTGAGCTTCCCAGGTAAGCCTGGCCTCACAGGGTTTGCGAGGTGTTGACCAGTTGTTGGTGTTCAGCAGTTGCAAGGAGGTGCCGGCAACTCAACTTTTGCTTGCAATGTTCACAGCAACAGCTGTGCCCCTCGCTGTGTGCTGTTTTGTTCAGCCTTTTTTGTGTGCCTTTTTGGCCTCGCACGGCCTCTGAGAAACAGGAAGAGTGAATCGAATCTAAACGCTTAGCGCAGGTCTCCTGCCGCAAACCGAGGAATGGAAATACAGGCCTTCCTTCCATGGATGGAGCCACACAAGCAAAACCAATTCGTTGGCATATTTCTACTTGTGCGATCCAGGGTGAAGCTTGGGATTGTTGGTTTTGACTCACCTGAATTGAGATCCATTGTTCTCCAAAAGAGGCAGGGCATACAATACCATGGCAAACCTCAACCTCTCAGAAAAATTGCCGTCAGTGACGAACATATAGACGACCAGACATTTCAAACCACCTCACCTCCTCTAAAGTGACTGACCAGAATCAAAAAACACCTCTTTCTGTTCCAACCAAACACCACCCCTGGAGGTCCCGTTCAACCCCTGTTCCTTTCTCCTTTGGGTCCGGCCCGTTTGAAACAGACGACGACGCCCTTCGTTTGGGTCTCATCACCCGTTCGGCCAGGAGGCCAAGGTGGCGGTATGACCACCCCGAGGAGCCGGAGGAGCGCCACTCACCAGCTCCTCGCCGTTATGCTTCAAGTGATATGGAGACGTTTCACGGCTCCGGGACTGGTTGGAGCGGGTAGGGACGGAAGGGCTGATATATCCGCGGGGTTTGGAAAGGTATATATCATATATCATATATTATATATTATATATATATACTATATAGATATAGATAGATGCAAAGAAGATGAAAAGGAAGGACTGATACCTTGTTTTTCTACTTTTGTTTGTGGTTCCTGGCACATCTTTTCTACCTTTGACCTCATGAAAGCAATTCTTCCTTTCACTGGTCATGAAGAAGCAGGTCCTGGCTCCACTTCTGCGTGCCTCGTTCGAAACTTCTGCGACCCGTGGTGTCATCCCCATTCGGGTTCGTTCAAGCCAGGAACACACTAATCCCCGAATGATACCCCACCACCCTGAAATCGATACTCGGAAGGAGTTGAAAAATATCTGAGACATTCAAAAGCAACGAAGTTCCAGGACTAAGCAAGCCTGTGTCGAAGACGTGCACATCATTGAAGCAGCGAATCTCCTGAAACACAAAAGAACTGGCAGAAGACTCTTCATGAGAATTGACAGCATCCCTGTTCACATCATGCCGTGAAAATGTCATGTTGATGAAGGATCGAAAGGCAGGATGTGACCAATCGCTTGCAAAGTCTCTCACAAATCATTGGTTTTGAGGATGTGACCAATTGGTTTTACAAATCACTTCGGACTCGATTGTTTTTGGTTTTGAGGAAAGCGGCTTGCAGATCATTGCAGTCTTGTGCCACGAAACAGTGAAGCCTGCAGTCTTCATCCAGACCTGCCCCATCCAATCTGTTCAATTGACCTTTCTGGACTTGAACTCCTTCAGCTGGAGGTTCTTCCCACCATTTCGGAAGGCGGAGAGAACGGCTCCACTGCTGCTCGGCTCCACGCTCCTGGACGCATCCCCCAATGATGTAGATCTTGCGGCCAACCTGTCGTGCCAGATGTAGATCTGGTGGCACCAAGCAGGGAAAGGGAGATGGAACAAGATCTCATTTCTATGTGGAACAAACGAAGTCTGGATGTCCCATTGTATATTCCAAGTGGACATGGAATGTGTGGCACCTATGCCTGCCATGGCAGGTATGCAGGAAAAAGGTTGTTTTCCCTTTTCGTGGTGCATTCGATTCAACCCCAAACCAGCGTTATGTTTGCACGACTACCCGCTAACCTAACCGTGTGGCAAGCTCTGCTGTTCGCTTCGCAGAACCTACTGGGTCCACCGGTCTCGATTTGCGGGTCTGCTGAGCCCACCTCCACAGAAGCATGTCCTTGACGCTTCGATGGGGCACCTTGCACCTGCCACCAATGAACAGGATCTTGAGCAGACTGGCTTTAAGCCAGTCTAGTAACAGTTCCATGAACTCCACATTGAAAGAAAAACAACACCTCCAAAGTGCTCCACGACCATGTAGACCAAACTCCAGGCACCACCTTCCAACTTGAAGGACTTCTTGGCGCACCAAAGAGCTGGTTGGAGAAAAAGGAGGCACGTTCATCGGAATCCCCTTGTTTGGTGTTAGGGCGAAAAGGGGTGCATTGCATTTCAGCGCACCACAGCCAACAGTGTGAAGATCCTGCAGGTCATCGCATCACTGCCTCAGTGATAACAGTCACGACAGCCCAAGATTTGCATCAGCTTTGTTGAACTCAGGATTCACGAGAACGTATTCGTTTGCGTTTGCCGGTGGCGAATTTTTTGTGAGCTGTCAGGCCAGTGTGGATCTGAAAGTGAAATTAAGGAGACTGCGTCTTCATTGATTGGGCGGTCGAAGGAAGTGTGGCACAAGGCCAAACACGTTCCGCTGAGAGCAAAACACAGGAACAACATGCCCAATGAGTTCCCACCAAACTAAGCTGAGGCTGTGCAACAAACAACAAAAACATTAAACATCCTTCGCAAAGGAAAAACAATGGCATGTCGCAAATTGTTTGAAAGTCATCCTGATTGGCAAACAGGCGGCCGCCCATGAGCGCTATGCGCTATGTTCTCAACACGGCAGGAAAACAGCAAATGGAGAGAAACCAAAGTGGCAGCAAGCAAAAAAACTGCACATTCTTTGCTGGTAATGTGCAAAGGGCACTTGGCCGACGTCGATAAGAGTATATAACATAAAAACAGAAGGGGTATTCAGGTGGGTCCCCTGCCCAGCCTCTCCTCAGACCCTCTCGATGGGTCTGAATTTATTGTTTTTTGTTTTTTGGCTTTAGCTGGTCTGCCCCAACCAATGGACAAGCCAAAAAATGTTCAGACCTACTTCACCTGTCCAGCCTCTCCTCAAACCTTCTCCGTGGGTCTGAATATATATTTTCTCGTTTTTGGGTTCTGGTCTGCCCAAAGCAATGGACAAATACGCTCTTTTTCCTGATCTGACAAGAAGGCTGCAGTATGCACATGCATGCTTGATGATGTCAAATATGTTATACACCTAGGCTATGATCTACACTGAAAATGGTTCGCACTCCTTCTTGGCGATGTGAGACCCTAAAATGCCTCTTTGGGCTCACTTTGCCACCATAGTCCATTTTCTCTCATTCACTTCTTGTTTCTTTCTCTTTTGGATTTACTCATTGTTTCCAGGAACTGGGTTCCTAGAGATTGTTGGCACGTCGTGTGGTATATCTGGATGTTCTCTCATCCTGCGTGCACAATCCAACAATTCGCGATTCTTATCCATTCTTTTTCAACTACATCTGCTGCCTCTGGCAATCCTCTTCCTAGCAAGTTGCAGTGTCTTTTTGCTGTACTTCTGCTTCAAGTCGACCACACGTTTTTTGTTTAATCTTGCCTGATTGATGCTTCTCTGTTTCTTGGATTGAATCTTCTGTATAGTGGTCCTTCTGTTGGGTTTTCTTGCTTCATTCATAACTGCTTGCAACAGTACCTGTCCAAAAAAAGTCAAATAGTCCTGTTGTTCTCTGCATGTCTTCTAAACTCCTTCTGGCTGAGTAGTGTCTTGCATTCATTTCATTCAACATGTCATACACACTAAAAGTTTGTGTTTGGTATTTTTCTTTCTTTACAAAGCCTCCATTGAAAATCTATCCGCTGTGAATTTTCCTGCCGTAATTGCAAGAACATTGATTCTCTCTCCTGTTGAAAAGCTGGTAGACCGACCTGAGGACTCACGAAACACGACTGTACAGCTAAGATCCGCTTTGAGTGGATGCACCTTCCACTGCGAAAAGGTTCTTCCTGACTCTTCTTTGCACAGCCAAACTCTTGATTTGTTAGGTGATAAGATTGCCACTGCTTGGCCAGTGCAAAATTTGTGATGGACCTGCTGGATCCCTGCTTGCCAATTTGGGTTGAAACCAGATGTCTTCGATCATGTCAGAATTGGGCCTCGCGCCTCTTTGCTGTGGAACGGACCGAAAGTGGTCTTTTTCAGACAACGTGGGCCGGAACTCAGCTCTGACTCTTGCGCGAGGAAGAAGACCAAGACCACAAGGACTTGGGCAGTTTCTCTCACTCTTGAAACTCTTCAAGTCAACAACAACTCAAACTAACGCAGTGCACTCCCTCGCACACTTGAGCCAAAAGTAACAGTCGGGTGAATGACTGCACATATGCATACAAAACACAAAGAACTCTTTACAAAAACCTCTTAAACACAGGAAAACGCTACAAAACTTTTTAAAATCTTCAAGACTTTAACTACAATGTTCCGGTCACATTTGTTTCTTCAGAACACGGCCAAACAACACAAAACAAAAAACAAGCAAAGCAAAAAAATGGGGGTAGGATCCCCAGGTTGGCTCGGGTTGACAACTTCTGAAAACGGTGTATCTCCTGCATTGCTCTTTGCTCGGATTGCAATGTCCGTGTGTACTGTGCCTGCTTGCTCTTGTTCTTCTTTCTGCGTTTGCATTTCTTGGATTCCTCTCAGAACAGTACAGTCGAAGAAGGCTTTGCAGGCAATGTAGTGTGCTGATGGTGGGATAGCTAGCTCTTGCAAAGCGGCACAACCCATGAAGACTTTTGCATGTATGGTGTGGAGTGTATACGGGAGCATCATTCGCCGGAGAAAAACGCAGTTGGCAAAGTAAATTCTCTGATCTCTAGGATTGTGGTGTCAGATATGTCGACTAGAGTGAGAATCTTGCAGTTGTCAAAGGCATGAGCTCCTAGTCTGTGAAATTCTGGGAGTGACCCAAGGTCACTCAGTCCTGTTAAACAAAAGCACCCTTGTGGTGTCTCTCGACAGGTTTGGTGCGGATGCGCGGTTCGAGCACTGCTGGCAGTGGTAGGATGGACAGTTGGTTGCAGCCACGACACCCTTCAGGATCAACTTGCAGCAAACCTATCGCAACCTTGCACAAGTGGACCTGTCCTTGCCAGAGGGTCTCTTGGTGGGACTCGGCTACGCAGCAACAAACCCGCCGGACAGCCCTCTTAGCTTTCACCAAGCGCAGAGCGCGGCTGAGAGATCAGGTGTGGCAGGGTTACACCAATGGAGCATCATGCTCCCCACTAGTGCCCGGGTCTCACAGGAAGTCTATGAGCCACTCATAGGAATCCAGTATCCTATGTTGCGCAGTCGTAGGCAAAACAACTGGCAAATAGGCACTACTTCCATCAGAGCAAATCACCAAGTTGCAACTGGCCTCAGGTTTGTCACTTGGTGCCACTCCTCCCTAAATGAGGATGCCGTCACCAACCCGCCTGCTAATCAAACCATCCTAGCCTATAACCACCTGGAGAGCCAGCTGTCAAGGGCGTCATCAGGGAATGACGCAGCGCTAGTCCTCACAACCACGCGTACCAGTGCCACAGCACTACAAGGTCACTTCCATGACGAAGGAAAGCAGGCTAATGCAGAGACAGCGGTCAAGGTGGCGGGAGCAACTGCACGGCACTGCATAGCAATGCACGGACGCACGGCCTTCCTCAGTGGCCATGGTAGGAATGCTGACTTCGACTCGGAATGTTACACACATACATGCCGGACGGGCCCCACTTCCCTGGAATAACTTGAATAGTGGTCTCCTGTTTGGGTATGCCCTAGATGCTAGCCCGCACCCGGAGTGGATTGTCCTGCCGGACACAGAGTGTGGACCAGGGAGCACCACAGGCCAGTATCGTTGACATGCACCTTCAGGCTATGACACACTTTCTTGACAGCCTCAGTTTGTTCGGCTGCCTCCAAGGCATCAATCAAGGCAAACGCCTTGTCAGTCTTGGCTTCCCACTCTTTTGTCTTGGCCACGTTGCGCCACACGAGCAAGGGGTTCATCTGCTGGAAGACTTGGCACATTGAAGTTGACTGAGCAACCAGTTTGTCCAAATTCTTTGGAACGGCGGCTGAAATCTTTGGAGTGGTTCCACCTGCTTTCTCCTTCTCCAACTTGTCTGGGACCGTCTCCTTTGGTTCAGACTTGGCTTTAGGCTTTCTGGTCGATCTTTTGGCTTGAGGCTTTGGCTTCTCGGACTCCTGGTGGACGCCCTAATTGTCCTCTGAATCCGCATCTTCTTCTACTGCCTCAGGCTGCTCCTCTGGCTCGCTCTCTTCCTCCTCAGCAGCAGCAGCAAAGGCTTCATGTGCTTCCTCCTGATTAGGGTTAAGAATCAATTCAGCAGCTTTTGAGTCTAAAAGCAAAATTCACAGAGCAAACTATGAATGTTTTGAATGGCCGGTCTAAGTCTAAGTCAAGAGTTGGTGGTGACATTAAAAGCAACAACATCTATCTAACATCTCCTGAGTCTGGGCATTGATGACCAACTTCTCTGCATCTTCTTTCTGCTGGGCATCCATCGAGCTGCCTGCTGCATGTTCAGATTCCCGAACCTTCTTGGCTGAAAGCCGATGCCCGATCAACACCCTCTTTTTGCCATCCATGATCACCACACCTTCAACGCCTCGTTCGTCCTGTCACAGGCAAACTCAAAATTATAGTTTAAGTTTAAGTTGAAAGCTGAAAGTGAGAGTAGACTGAGTGAACAGTGAAAGGCAAAAGAAGGGTTAAAGGGCCAGGCCGGCCATATTCTGAAACATCTAAAAACAAACCCCGGCAAACTCTGGACTGCACACAGGCTGATGATGACTCTGAATCGACTCCTATTTATGAAATGAATCGAATCAAAACCCAACACCCGCACAGTCCGCTTGGATCTTAAGGCCCTTCTTCTCCAAGTACGCTTTCTTCTGGGCAACTGAGCGCAGCTTGCGCTTCAGCATGCTGCTGGAAGTATTCCAAGAGGTCATGCCAAACACCTTCCTTCAGGCAGAAAGTCACAGAAAAAAACAGGCTGCTCTTGCCTAGTCGG